TGGGGGCCAGTGTTTTGGGGCCAGTGTTTTGGGGCCAGTGTTTTGGGGGGCCATGTTTTGGGGGGCCAGTGTTTTGGGGGGCCAGTGTTTGGGGAGCCAGTGTTTTGGGGGCCGTGTTTTGGGGCCAGTGTTTGGGGGCCAGTGTTTTGGTGGGCCAGTGTTTTGGGGCCAGTGTTTTGGTGGGCCAGTGTTTTGGTGGCCAGTGTTTTGGGGGCCAGTGTTTTGAGGGGGCCAGTGTTTTGGGGCCAGTGTTTGGGGGCCAGTGTTTTGGGGGGCCAGTGTTTGGGGGGCCAGTGTTTGGGGGCCAGTGTTTTGGGGGCCATGTTTTGGGGGCCAGTGTTTTGGGGGCTAGTGTTTGGGGCTAGTGTTTTGGGGGCCAGTGTTTGGGGGCCAGTGTTTGGGGCTCGTGTTTTGGGGGCTCGTGTTTTGGGGGCCAGTGTTTTGGGGGCCAGTGTTTTGGGGGCCAGTGTTTGGGGGCCTGTTTGGGGCCAGTGTTTTGGGGGCCAGTGTTTTGGGTGCCAGTGTTTTGGGGGCCAGTGTTTTGGGGGGCCAGTGTTTTGGGGGGCCAGTGTTTTGGGGGGCCAGTGTTTTGGGGGACCAGTGTTTTGGGGGGCCAGTGTTTTGGTGGCCAGTGTTTTGGGGGCCAGTGTTTTGGGGGCCAGTGTTTTGGGGGCCAGTGTTTTGGGGGGCCAGTGTTTTGGGGGCCAGTGTTTTGGGGGCCAGTGTTTTGGGGGGCCAGTGTTTTGGGGGGCCAGTGTTTTGGGGGCCAGTGTTTGGGGGACCAGTGTTTTGGGGACCAGTGTTTTGGGGGACCAGTTTTTGGGGGACCAGTGTTTTGGGGGCCAGTTTTGGGGGGCCTGTGTTTTGGGGGGGGGCCAGTGTTTTGGGGGGCCAGTGTTTTGGGGGCCAGTGTTTTGGGGGCCAGTGTTTTGGGGGCCTGTGTTTTGGGGGCCTGTGTTTTGGGGGGCCAGTGTTTTGGGGGGCCAGTGTTTTGGGGGGGCCAGTGTTTTGGGGGGGCCAGTGTTTTGGGGGGGCCAGTGTTTTGGGGGGGCCAGTGTTTTGGTGGCCAATATTTTTGGGGCCAGTGTTGGGTTCGGTTTTGGCGACAAATATATTTTTTAATTTTTGGCAAAACGCTGTTTCCTGTCGATCAGAGGCACACAGCACCTGCTGTGCCGAGGCCAGGAGCTGGGGCTTTAGACTGGGGCCGTCTGAGAGATAAACAGATAATAATGATAATAATAATCCTTTGCATTTGATATAGCGCTTTTCACGTCGCGAGGACGTCCCAAAGCGCTTCACAGAACACACTGTAAAGTGAATTGACCGTATATTTGTGGGCGAACGCGGCAGCCAATTGCGCACAGCAATGTCCCACAAACTCTTGTAGATTGAAAATGACCAATTTGTTATTGGTTTTTTTTGGAGGGATTATTATTAGGCTCTGTGTGGAGTAAGGAAACTTGCCCAAGGTTTCGCCCTGTGCCTGGAATTGAACTCAGGTCCCTCACTTGCAAAGCGAGTGCTCTAACCACTGAGCTACAGGACTCGGTTTCACAGGGAGGGAGCAGCTGGAGGCTCAGAGTGAGTGTCTCAGGAACTCCCTTCCTCACTCCTTTCGCCTTGCCCACCCCCCCCACCCCCACCTCGCTTGTGGGAATGTCCTGTCGTGGCTCAGACAGGGTTTATGTGAATGTAGTGTCACTGATTGACTGACTGACTGACCGGAGCTGCACCAGTGAGCAACACTGTCCATCCATTCAACTGCAATGTTCAGCTGAATGCCATGAATGGAAAGGATCTTTCAGCAAACCATTCAACCTCCTTAAAAGACTTGGCGTCCTTTTGTTGTGCAAAGTCTCTGATTCCAATAAATTCGCCATTTCTGATCCCCCCCCCATTCCCCAATTCTGAGCGTTTTGTTTTCCACTGGAAATCGTAAATGGGTGGGTGTCCTGAATGACATCGCCGTATGTACCACAGTGTTAATACCGGGACAATGATCAGTCAAACTTCCTGCTTCTGCATAACATAACACTCCTGTGGTTAAAAAGAAATAAGTGGGAACCAGCGCCCAGACACGTAAGCCACGTCCTTCCAGGTAGAGAGGCTGCAGAGGGAGAAACAGGCTGCAGTGTTTTCCTCTCGTCTTAAAAGGATTCATTTCAGGATGGGATGTGTTGCTTTCAAAGCCCGTCCCCGAAGCCAATCCAGGATCCTGATGCTGGGACTGGATTACGCCGGGAAGTCCACACTTTTGTACAGGTTAAAGCTGAATGAGAGGATGCAAACTTCTCCCACGGTGGGGTTTAACGTGGAGACGATGGGGGCCGGGAAGAAGGACTCGGCCACTATCTGGGACGTGGGTGGCCAGGACCAGTTACGAGCTCATTGGAAGGATTACTTGGAGGGCACCGACGGTCTGATCTTCGTGGTGGACGGTTCAGATCGGACCCGCCTGGGGGTTGCCGGAAAGGAGCTCAGGCGCGTCCTGAACCACACGCACCTGACCGGTGTCCCCTTCCTGGTGATTGCCAACAAGCAGGACCTGCCCCGGACCGTGGCGCTGCAGGAGATCATGGACACACTGCGGCTGAAGCGCTGGCACGACAGGGAATGGGACATCAGAGCTTGCAGCGCTCACACCGGGGAGGGGATCGCACAGACCAGGCAGGCTGTAGCTGCACTTGTCAAGAGAGCGCAACTCAAGAAAAGGGGCCTCGGTTCTCCCAGTCTCGTAGGGACCGAACACAAGAGAGAGGCACCGGCAGGGGCTGACTGTCCATCTGGGAATGGATCACCATCTGCATCTGAAATACGCCCGTGTCCACCCACTGCCACTCACACACGACACCGGCAATGCTGCACTCAGGACTGAGTGGCGTTCAGCACATCCAGACTCGTGTCATTCAAGACTCGTTTCCTGCAATATGGGACAATCATGTCAATCGTTGCTTTTTGTTTTCTCTCTCACTCCTGCTTCACTGAAATGCTTCCCATACAATACCAGACTTGACGAAAATGCAAAAGGTTTAAGATTCGTTTGGACAAAAGTTCACCTCCGGCCTAATGCTTTCTTTACAGTGCGTACACCATATGCTGTGAAGGTACAGAAATGTTTCATTGCATATTGTTATTTGAAGCACGACTTTCCCAGCGAGCAATTAAAGAAATTCGAAATAATTAAAACGCCTCCACTTTCTGTTTTAGACGAATAAAGTTCATTAACATAATCCTTTAAGAGCCATCATGGAAGCATACTTCATTAGTTCAGCAATGAAAATGTATTTGATAAACATAAATGTTTTTTTGGCGTGGGCTGACACGTGTGGAAACCCATCACCGCTAAAGAGTGTCCACACCAGACTATATTACAGCATGTAGGCAAACACAGCAGCAATGTATGCACAGCAAGTTTCCACAAACAGTCATAAAATGAAGAACAAATTGCTACCAATCCTCTGGACTGCACTTCTCCACTGTACACCCAGGAACTCAGAGCAACGAAGAACTATTTGAACACACACGTAGAATGATTACAACAAAAAACAGACAATGTAAATCTGAGATTTCATGGGAAAAAGTCCTTTGCCATCAACACTGCATTTCTGGACCCAATCTGCAGAATTATTACGATACAATATTTACTATTATATTCAATTGCCTGTACACTCAAGACAAAGTGGTGGATTCTGTTCCTGGATCATCATGGTTCAGTGGCAATTCTGTGCAGCGAGTGAGTTCCACAATCTACCTGACCTCTGTGTGAAGTAGTTCCTCCTAAAATCTCTTTTAGATCCCACAGTTGCTAACTCATACTTCAGAATTTAATTGAACATCATATATTCTCAGATAACCATGTTATGAGATGTTTACATTGAGATGATATATGGAGACGCAACTCCCATGAAACCAGCAGAATTGTTAGAAGAATTAATTATTAACTTGAACAATCTGATTATTGCTTCATTATAAAATCACTGAACTCAATTGCACAATCAAAGAATACACGGGAAACATTACACAAAACCTTCAGTAATTTAGTTACAGATTTTATCACACCTCATACCCAAGATTAGTTAATACAGTAAAATTCACATAAGTCATATCAGTGGGAGCATAACATTTAATATGACTTACTATATGTCTGAGTTGCAGACAAACTGTATAAGTCATAGAAACGGTTTCTCCCTGGTTACCTTATCAAAACTCATAATTTTAAACATTTCATTAAGTTTTTACAATTTATAAATATTGTTATGGACTCAGCATCAACAGCCATTTGTGGCAATGCATTTCATATTCTGCTAATCCTGTGTGAAAAAAGTTTTCTAATGTCACCCTTAATGGCCTTAACGTACATTAAAGTCTTGCTTGGGATATTATCTATAATGCTAGACAAGTTCTGGAGAAAGTACTCACTCAGAAAGAGGCAACAGGCACTGCTTCCATGGGAGAGGGAGTGGAGGCACAAGTGAAAATATTAGTAAAATGGTGTATCATGAATCCACTCTGTGTACTATTTTAATTGAAGTGAATCATACAGGTTTAATCCTTGTGATATCCAAATGCTGGAAGTATTTAAGTGAATTTTACATCTAACTTACAATTAAAACAAACCACGAATGATAGCCTCCCACCTATTCTCTCCAGTTATTTACTTATTTAACAATAATTATTTGCTAATTTAATACAGAAAAATGTTGCAGCCCCATGTCATGATTGAGATGAGTACATCCCCTACCTTTGACATTTTGATTTTTCAAGATATTCAGTACTGCTTATAGATGAATCTAACTCTAATTATCTAATGTTAGATTTTTTTGAGTTGTAAGCTATAAAATGTTGTAGATATTTAGTTTAGTTTATTTTTTATTTTATTTAAATTAAATTACACAAGAAATCTAAGTGTTGGGAATGCATGATTGATCTCAAATGTTCAATCCTCTTTTTGGCCATTTCTATGAACTAGCAAATACGTTAGTCAAGTTTATTTTTCCCATTGGTCCTAATATTAAAGATGCACATCATCGCACAAATCATTCCTGGTAAAGATTCACTTGCTTTCCAGTATGCCATTCCTCAGTCTAATTTTTTCACTGCATCATTTTTCTTTTGGTGCATTTCCTTTAGGGCTAACCACGATTGCCACAGTAACAGCCCTGGCACTATTACCCAAACGCTGTTAAAGAAAACCAAGTAGACCCAGAGGTACAGCCAGTTGCTGGTGTTCAGGTTGGGGCTCCCAATGAGCCAATCAGGACAGAAGGTCATCCAGCCGCCATAGAGCTCACAAACACACAACGTGATCTGCACAAAGTGCCTAAAACATAAGAAAGGATTCATTGTGTTAATATGCAGAATTGAATGAGTTTGTCGGTCTTCAACAATTCATTTTGTTAATAATATTTCTGGTGCTACTCAAATTTTAACCATTATTAGCTGTGCGTAAAAAAAGTGCTTTGATGTGCCGTTTAATTACCTTTTTTTTTGCTGTCTCCTATCTGTGCTATCATTCTCTTTCGAAAAGACTCCTGATAACTCGTCACTCCAAGGGAAAAGGCCTCAGTGACAAGTTATCCAGAGTGGCAAGTTAGGCCGATGTATAAATGTTACATATGGCCAAGATGGTGATTTAAGTGACGGTGACAAATTAAGCCAGGGTTGAGTTATCAGGAGTTTGTGGTATTTTGCTTGGAGAACATGAAAAGAGAAATATTCAGGTAAGATTTTCCAGCACTAGCTTTGTGGGTCTGATGTGGCAATATTGTAAATTGTATAGTTCATACCTCAAGAGGAGGTAAACTTGTTTGATTAAAAAAAAATCCAGTCTCAAATAGGATTTGTAGAAGGAAAAATCCTTCTCTTGGGAATCAGAATGTGCCAGAATTAGCTCCTCACAGCTCTTCAAGAGTTTTCTGGCAGGGAATTGGATACATACTTGAAAAGACGGGGAAGGCTATGGGGTAAGAGCAGAAGAGTGGGCTCATTGGACAGCTAATTGGATAGCTCTTTCAAAGAGCATGATTAACCGAATAACCTCCTTCTGTGTTGCACGATTCTATATGAATCTATGTCTTGGTCACCCCACATCTGTTGGCAGTTTATCTAGTTTTGGTGAGTAGTTGAGGTCTCCATCTATTAACAATATGCCTTCCATTTGTGGAGCCAATGACTAGAGGATTGCTGTTGGGCAATTAGGAGTATCCGCATTCATTTCTTCTGCATTCATTGCACGTTAACATATACATTCTCTCCTACATTGATGAACAGAAAACATTTCCTTTGAAACTTTTTCTTTTTGCAGTGCAAATGATTGAAAAGCAAACTTATCCTAAGTACCAGATACTATTTCTTTTTATGAGTTTATACTCTGCTTAAAGGCGGAATTTCAATTAATAAAATTCCAGTCTGCTTACCTGTAATATTTATCTTTGACAATGGCATATATGAGAATCAATGCTAAAAACCCACACAACACAACAGTGAGGATTTCTAGTGATACAATTGTGGGATCGGAATAAAGCCATCTTGCATCTGCGTTTCCATACTCTTTCCCTGGAAAAATATAGATATTAAAAGGAACAAGATTGACGTCAGCCGGTTTCCCTTCCAATATTGGTGACATGGAATTTAAGTGTACCCATTTATCGTGCTCATTACAGTAATAATGAGGCATAACTGGACACATTTATTGAAAAGATAAAAATCAATTGATGAATTAATAAGAAATACAAAAGCTACATAAAAATCTGTACATTTAAGAAATATATCCAATTTAATTAACAGCTCCTTGGTCCTTACACTTCAGGAACCATTGATGTGCGAGCATTTCAGAGACAGCAGGATGTCTCTTTGTCATTCACTTGTGATAAATGGGCATTGCTGTCTGCAAAGTGGCTGCCACATACACCTAAACAATACATATTTACTACACTCAATAGTAAGTCTGTGAAGAGATCTCAAAGATGTGATGGGGCCACTATATCAAAACATTATTCTTTTAGTATTACAAACAAATAATAAAACAGCAATAACAAGTTTACATTTAAACTTGTTATTTAAGTTTACATTTAAACTTGTTATTTTGTGAAAAGTGTTTGTATAAATATAACATTGTTCACATAATAAGAAGTTTGGGATGACAATTCCGAGTGCTTTAAGTCAACTGAGCGTCTGAGATAGGGGTGGTGGGGGTTTGGGGAACTGAGGAATAAGAGGAAGGAACAATGAGTGACCAAAAGTGTGGTCAAAAGGCTCTTAAAGACAGACTTCAAAGGTGGAGAGGGAGAGGACAAGCCAAAGGGAATCTGAAATGGAGTTTCAGAGAGTGGGGCAGAATGGTTGAAGGCTTGTCCACTAATGGTGGGGCAGGTTAGACAGGGGACATGAAGTAGGTGGTGTTTACTGAACAGAAGGAGCAGCTGCAGCAGTTATCAGGAGGTCACAGAGTCAGGGTGGGACGAGGCCATAGTAGGAAATTTCTGAATATTAACTATAATAATTTAAGAGCTAGATGCTCAAATGATCACATTAACCCAGACTGAAGAACAAGATAATCTCACCATAAAAACAATAGTCATCATAGATGTGCAGCAGATTTATTACCGGAAAGTTTTCAAAACTTACATAGAACAGCAAGGATGTTATCATATTGTGCCACTGTCCCAAACAAGGACATACAAACAAACGGACCCTCCTGCAAAATAAAAATAATATTAATTAATTGTTAATTGTTGTTAATTAATTAACTGTCAAGTGCTCCGGGATGCTACCCTGCGTGAGGGGCGCTATACAAATGCAAGTTGTTGTATATGCATTCTTTCTTCCAGATGGTCCCTCTGATTGCACATCATCCATCTTTTGTGAATTAAATCATCAGGTTACAAAATTACTGGGGGGTGGGGGGGGGGGGGGGAAGGAAAGTTAAGAAATTCTCACCAGGAGCTTTTCTAGGAACACACTTTTCAAGGATATATTTAGCCTTCTTTTATGTAATATCTCAATTTGGTTGTTTGAATTTATGGATTTCAATAGAACTTGTTGTAATTAACTCTGCATGAGCCCTGACCAGCAGGGGAGGCCGAGGCTTGGTTTAGGAGGACCAAGCTCTTGACCCCCCCCATCGCGCCCCACCCCCCCCCTCCCACCCGGCCCCCAGACCAAAGGAGCACTGCAACTGGTGGACCTGGTAGGACTAACTCAGGACTGGGTAAGATGAAGGCAACCCAAGCACCTGGGAAGATTAACCAAAGATGTACCAAATAAAATGGTACCGTACACTAATGGGGAGAAATTACCACCTGCTGAGAAGCTTTCTGGATTTTTTGGTCAGGCATGTTTGACACATGCTGACACCCATCACCTTGCTTAACCCAGACTGAGAATACCATGTATCCCACCTCCACACAGAAATCCCAGAGATAGACTGTTGGAATGGAATGCATCTCTCCCTGGAGGGATGCATCCTGCTTACGTAATTCCGGAAAGGATTAGGCACAGGTTGGCAAGAACGAAGGCTCGGGGGACCCCAGAGCGTGCGTTGCCGGGGTACACTTCATTCTTGAATGCATTCTTTTCTTGAATGTCTCACATTCTTTAAGGTCTTGCCCCTCCCTACCTCCGTGACCGGATAAAGCTTACCCATCTTATCTACCCCACCCCTCCCACCACCATCCACTACCTTTAAAGCCTACTACAGTGAGCCAACAGTAAACCTGTGGAACAGGCTCCCTCGGGAGACGGGTGAAGCAGGAAGTGCTGATTCCTTCAAACACAGATCAGGGACGGTTTTCTTTTAGGGAAGTAACATTTACGGGACGTAGTGCATGGGTAGTTCGGGACATAGATGCACCCGACCACCAGGAAGGTGGAAGGCCAACGCGAATGGACGTTGTCTTTCACGTAGCATTTCTTACGTTCTTACGTTAAAGCCTCTTTTGTTCCTTCCTCGGTTCCCCCCCACCCCCCACCCCCCCACCCCTCCCAACTCCCAACCCCAACTCAGGGTCCCAGTCAGCCTTGGGACATCTTTCCAAAGCCTCCCATAAATAACCATCGACTCTTGCACAGCTTCATCCTCAAGGCTCTCACGCATCCTCTCAGTTGGACCCCCCATTGCACCGTCTGTTGCAGGTTTGGTTTCCCCCAAAGTCCGGGACGGTGATTGCATCCCTTTTACGGTGATAACGCGTTCACCGATTTCTGGGGCGATTCCCTCGGCTGTGTCCGAGGATTAAACTCCCGCAGCAAAGCAGCGTGAAATGTCAGCGTCCTCGGTGTTCAACCGGCGCCCCGGGGCAGGGCAGGGACTGGGGACAGGGCAGGGACTGGGGGCAGGGCAAGGACTGGGGGAGGGCAGGGACTGGGGGCAGGGACTGGGGGCAGAGACTGGGGGCAGAGACTGGGGCAGGGGCTGGGGGCAGGGCAGGGGGCAGGGCAGGGGCTGGGGCAGGGCAGGGGCTGGGGCAGGGCAGGGGCTGGGGGCAGGGGCTGGGGGCAGGGCAGGGACTGGGGGCAGGGGCTGGGGGCAGGGCAGGGGCTGGGGCAGGGCAGGGGCTGGGGGCAGGGGCTGGGGGCAGGGGCTGGGGCTGGGGGCAGGGGCTGGGGGCTGGGCTGGGGGCAGGGCAGGGGCTGGGGCAGGGCAGGGGCTGGGGGCAGGGGCTGGGGGCAGGGGCTGGGGGCAGGGGCTGGGGAGAGGGCAGGGGCTGGGGAGAGGGCAGGGGCTGGGGAGAGGGCAGGGACTGGGGGCAGGGGCTGGGGGCAGGGCAGGGGGGGAGGGCAGGGACTGGGGGCAGGGGCTGGGGGCAGGGCAGGGGCTGGGGCAGGGGCTGGGGAGAGGGCAGGGGCTGGGGCAGGGCAGGGGCTGGGGCAGGGCAGGGACTGGGGGCAGGGCAGGGGCTGGGGCAGGGCAGGGACTGGGGGCAGGGGCTGGGGCAGGGCAGGGACTGGGGGCAGGGGCTGGGGCAGGGACTGGGGGCAGGGACTGGGGGCAGGGGCTGGGGCAGGGCAGGGACTGGGGGCAGGGGCTGGGGCAGGGCAGGGACTGGGGGCAGGGGCTGGGGGCAGGGGCTGGGGCAGGGCAGGGGCTGGGGCAGGGGCTGGGGGCAGGGGCTGGGGCAGGGCAGGGACTGGGGGCAGGGGCTGGGGGCAGGGGCTGGGGGCAGGGGCTGGGGCAGGGGCTGGGGCAGGGCAGGGGCAGGGCAGGGGCTGGGGGCAGGGGCTGGGGGCAGGGCAGGGGCAGGGCAGGGACTGGGGGCAGGGGCAGGGACTGGGGGCAGGGACTGGGGGCAGGGGCTGGGGCAGGGCAGGGGCTGGGGCAGGGGCTGGGGAGAGGGCAGGGGCTGGGGCAGGGCAGGGACTGGGGGCAGGGACTGGGGCAGGGCAGGGGCTGGGGGCAGGGGCTGGGGCAGGGCAGGGGCTGGGGCAGGGCAGGGACTGGGGCAGGGGCTGGGGGCTGGGGCAGGGCAGGGGCTGGGGGCAGGGGCTGGGGCAGGGCAGGGGCAGGGCAGGGGCTGGGGGCAGGGGCTGGGGGCAGGGCAGGGGCAGGGCAGGGACTGGGGGCAGGGGCAGGGACTGGGGGCAGGGACTGGGGCAGGGGCTGGGGGCAGGGCAGGGGCTGGGGCAGGGGCTGGGGAGAGGCAGGGGCTGGGGCAGGGCAGGGACTGGGGGCAGGGGCTGGGGCTGGGGGCAGGGGCTGGGGGCAGGGCTGGGGCTGGGGCAGGGGCTGGGGCAGGGCAGGGGCTGGGGCAGGGGCTGGGGCTGGGGGCAGGGGCTGGGGGCAGGGCTGGGGCAGGGCAGGGGCTGGGGGCAGGGCTGGGGCAGGGCAGGGGCTGGGGGCAGGGACTGGGGGCAGGGCAGGGGCAGGGGCTGGGGCAGGGCTGGGGCTGGGGGCTGGGGCAGGGCAGGGGCTGGGGGCAGGGGCTGGGGGCAGGGGCAGGGCAGAGACTGGGGGGAGGGCAATGCACCGTCTGCAGGGAACTTACAAGGGTGAAGTGCACGATCGCATCGTAGCAGAGCCACACCAGGGCGGCCCTGTCCGGGGCTGAGCAGCGCCTCCCGACCCTCCGCGCCACAGCCGCACCGAGTAACAGCTGAGCAGCGCAGCCCAACAGCGGCCACACACACCCGGCACCCGGCACCGGCCCCGGCACCGGCCCCGCCGGGCTGCTCATCCCTGCCCACCGCACCGCACCGCACTGCACTGCCCACCGCACCGCACTGTACCGCACTGCACTGCCCACTGTACCGCACTGCACTGCCCACCGCACCGCACCGCACTGCACTGCCCACCGCACCGCACTGTACCGCACTGCACCGCACTGCCCACTGTACCGCACTGCACTGCACCGCACTGCCCACCGCACCGCACTGCACTGCACCGCACTGCCCACTGTACCGCACCGCACCGCACCGCACCGCACCGCACTGCCCACCGCACCGCACTGCCCACCGCACCGCACTGCCCACCGCACCGCACTGCCCACCGCACCGCACTGCCCACCGCACCGCACTGCCCACCGCACCGCACGGCCCACTGTACCGCACTGCACCGCACTGCCCACTGTACCGCACTGCACTGCACCGCACTGCACTGCCCACTGCACTGTACTACACTGCACTGCCCACTGTACCGCACTGCACTACACTGTACTACACTGTACTGCTCACTGTACTGCACTGCACTACACTGTACTACACTGTACTACACTGCACTGCCCACTGTACCGCACTGCACTACACTGTAATAATAATAATAATAATAATCCTTGCATTTGATATAGCGCTTTTCACGTCGGGAGGACGTCCCAAAGCGCTTCACAGAACACACTGTAATGACTGTATATTTGTGGGCGAACGCGGCAGCCAATTGCGCACAGCAATGTCCCACAAAGTGTCGTAGATTGAAAATGACCAATTTATTATTGTTTTTGGTTTTGGAGGGATTATTATTAGGCTCTGTGTGGAGTAAGGAAACTTGCCCAAGGTTTGGCCCTCTGCCTGGAATTGAACTCAGGTCTCTCACTTGCAAAGCGAGTGCTCTAACCACTGAGCTACAGGACTCCACACTGCACTGCTCACTGTACCGCACCGCACTGTACTGTACTGCACTGCCCACTGCACCACACTGCACTACACTGTACTGCTCACTGTACCGCACTGCACTACACTGTACTGCCCACTGTACCGCACTGCACCGCACTGCACTGTACTACATTGCCCACTGCACCTGCACTGCACTACACTCTACTACACTGCACTGCCCACTGCACCGCACTGCACTACACTGTACTGTACTACACTGCCTGCCCACTGCACTACACTGTACTGTACTACAATGCCCACTGCACCGCACTGCACTACTATACTACACTGCCCACTGTACTGTACTGCCCACTGTACTGTACTACACTGCACTGCCCACTGTACTGCACTGCCCACTACTGCACTGCCTACTGCACCGCACTGCACTGTACTGCACTGCCCACTGTATTGCACTGCACTACACTGCACTGCCCACTGCACTGCACTGTACTACACTGCACTGCTCACTGCACTGTACTACATTGTACTATACTACACTGTCCACTGTACTGCACTGCACTGTACTGTATTGTACTACACTGTACTACACTACCCACTGCATTGCAGTACACTGCCTATTGCACCGTACTGTACTACCTACATGGTACTGTACTACACTGCCCACTGTACTGCACTGTACTACACTGCTCACTGCACTGCACTACACTGTACTTCACTGCCCACTGTACTGCACTACACTGCCCACTGTACTGAACTACACTGCCCACTGTACTGAACTACACTGCCCACTGTACTGTACTGCACTGTACTACACTGCACTGCCCACTGTACCGCACTGCACCGCACTGTACTGTACCGCACTGCACCGCAATGTACTGTACTGTATTACGCTGCCCACTGCCCTGTACTACACTGCCCACTGCACTACACTGCCCACTGCACTACACTGTACTAAACTGCCCACTGCACTAAACTGTACTACACTGCCCACTGCTCCGCTGCACTGCCCAGCTCTCTACATTACACTGCCCACTGTACTGCACTGCTCTGCTGTACTGCATGTGCGCCAGACACCAACTGCTGTCTGCAATCAATTCCCTCAGTGGTCACTGAGCCAAACAACAGCCACACACTGTTGCATTGGTTGGGTTAGTGCATCTCTTGCCACATCATTGCCCACATCAACGCCCCTCTGAAAATACTTTAATATCGATGTGACCTGCATCAGGATCTCGCCCCTCTCTACCTCTGCGACCTGCTAAAAGCTAACCTACCTGGTCCCACACCTTTGAAGCCCGTCTTTTCAACTGCACCCGCCTTCCTCAGCTTCCCTCCCTCCCGCCCTCCCCCCCCACACCCACCTCAGGCTCCCCAGTCAGCTCTGTCAAGAGCTTTGATACATCCTTCCAAAGTGAAAGCCTTCATCTGGGGAAAGAGCGGCGGAGTTGGTAGATCTCTCAAAGAGCTGTCACGGGAAGGATGGGCCGAATGGCCTTCTTCTGTGCTGTAAGATTCTTTGATTTACATAAACGTGTTGTTATTACTATGTGCTTTCATTTTTAAAAAATTTAGCCTCCAATCTGGTATCTTGTCAAACTCTAAGGGGACTGGGAAAGGCAGAAGACATGAGACAAAGAATAATTTGTGCACCTTTTTTAAAGCAAAATTTACCACTGCCTTTCAGAGAGCTGGGGGCAGAAGCACAGGACGGAGGACAAAAAATAATAATACTTGCATTTGTTATAGCGCCTTATCACGTTCTTGTCACATCTCAAAGCGCTTCACAGCATATACTGGAGTCCTGCAGCTCAGTGGTTAGAGCACTCGCTTTGCAAGTGAGAGACCTGAGTTCAATTCCAGGCAGAGGGCCAAACCTTGGGCAAGTTTCCTTACTCCACACAGAGCCTAATAATAATCCCTCCAAAACCAAAAACAATAATAAATTGGTCATTTTTAATCCATGACTGTTTGTGGGACATTGCTGTGCGCAATTGGCTGCCGCGTTTGCCCACAAATATACAGTCAATTCACTTTACAGTATATTCTGTGAAGCGCTTTGGGACGTCTAGAAGACGTGAAAAGCGCTATATCAAATACAAGGATTATTATTATTATTATTATTATTACTGCAAAGTGAATTGACTGTATATTTTGTGGACAAAATGCAGCAGCCAGGTTGTGCCCAGCAGTGTCCCACAAACTGTCGTGGATTGAGTGAATTATTATTTTACTAATAGTAAGGTTATTTTTTCACAATAAATGAATTCCCTGGATTCAAACACTACTTCCTGTTACCACTCTCACACATAAAAAGAAGACAGTGTGGCGTGCAGCAGAAGCTTGTTTGAACTTCAAAACTGTCGAGGTGCAAGAATCGTGGAAGATGCAACAAAATCGGAGCTGCCCGATATTTGTGACTTTTTTTTGTCTTGTTGCATTACGAGGGAGAATGATTGGTTATTTTATCTATTGGATATTTATTGTTTATTGTTTATCTATCACAGAACAAGTCGATTTCAAGATCCTCTCACTGGTCTACAAATCGCTGACGGCTCCCTACCTTTCTTGACCTACTTTTTCCCCACTCCACTACCCGCTGTCTCCACTCGGCTGGCTCTGGCCTCCTGCTCCATGATCGACAGCCGACAGCGACTACACCTCAAAGCTCTGGAACTCTACCCCATCCCTCCACCCTGCCCCCCTTCTCCTTTCCTTTTAGATCACGACTGAAGACCTTACTCTTCGTCCGTGCTTACCGTCACCTCCTCCCTCCCCCCCCCTTCGGAGGGGTCAGGCTGCATCACTGTAAAGCGCTCCGCGTGAAGGGCGCTATATAAATGCAAGTTGTTGTTGTTTAACGCTACAACTTTCTTCCATCCAGCGACACTTGACATTTACCCTGTTGGGGAGTATAAGTCACTGCTGTGTCTGTTTCTGGCAGAGGGGAGTGATTCCTGGACCCTCTCATGTCGTTGATGTTTGAATAGATGATTCCCGTAAATATCTTCACTCCTGCGGATCTGAACTCCTCGAACTCCCTGGGCTCTCCCTCAGAATCACCGGACAAGTGCGCAATCTAGGCATCCGGTTTGACCCCCAGCTGTCCTTCCTCCCCCACGTCCAGTCCCTGACCAGCACCGCCTTCCTCCATCTCCGCCACATTGGCCGACTCCGACCGTACCTTACCCCAAATGCGGCCGAAACCCTCGTGTGTATGCGTTTGTCTCCTCCCGCTCGGGATGCTCCAACGCGCTCCTCGCCGATCTCCCCAGCTCCACTATTCAAAAGTCCCAGGTCATTCAGAGCTCGCACGCTGACCCGGATCAAACTCCGTGCCCACATCTCACCAGGGTTCTGGCCCAGGCTCCACCGGCTCCCCGTCACCAACCGGATCGACGTCACGGTCCTCACACTCGTGTTCAAATCCCTTCACTCCCTGGCGCCCCCCTACCTCTCCGACCTCCACCACGGCGTGGACTGGCACCGGCCGCCTGCTCGTCGCTCGTCCGCCATCCGAGGCCGCGCTTTCAGCCAGTGCACCCCGAAACCCCGTCCACTCCCACCCCCACACCCCACCCCGTCCACCCCCACCACCCCACCCCGTCCACCCCACCGCCCCACCCCGTCCACCCCCACCCCGTCCACCCCACCGCCCCACCCCGTCCACCCCACATCCCGTCCACCCCCACCGCCCTCCCCGTCCACCCCCACACCCGTCCACCCCCACCGCCCCACCCCGTCCACCCCACCGCCCCACCCCGTCCACCTCCACCCCCACCGTCCACCCCCACCCCTCCACCGCCACCCTGTCCACCCCACGCCCCACCCCGTCCACCCCACCGCCCACCCCGTCCACCTCCACCGCCCACCCCGTCCACCTCCACCGCCCACCCCGTCCACCTCCACCGCCCCACCCCGTCCACCCCCACACCCCGTCCACCTCCACCGCCCCCCCGTCCACCTCCACCGCCCACCCCGTCCACCTCCACCGCCCCACCCCGTCCACCCCGTCCACCTCCACCGCCCACCCCGTCCACCCCACCACCTCCACCGTCCACCCTGTCCACCCCACCGCCCCACCCGTCCACCCCACACCCGTCCACCCCACCGCCCCTCCCGTCCACCCCACACCCCGTCCACCCCCACCGCCCTCCCCGTCCACCCCACACCCCGTCCACCCCACCGCCCCACCCCGTCCACCCCCACCGCCCCACCCGTCCACCCCCACCACCTCCACCGGCCACCCTGTCCACCCCCACCGCCCCACCCCGTCCACCTCCACCGCCCCACCCCGTCCACCTGTTGGTGTTGTCGTCGTCGTCGTCGTCACCGTGGCTGGTTTGGTTACGGTGCACAGGTGCGGTCGGGGCGGTGCAGGAACGCCGCCTGACGGTCACATTCGGAATTGCAGCCGGTGATTGTCTGTGTGTCTGTGTGTGTGTGTCGCACCCCAGCGGGTGGGCGGTGGCACTGCAGTCCCCGTGACTACCGCTCGCCGCCTGGAGGCGGGCGGGTGGCGCTGCAGCCGGCGGTGCGCGGAACCTTCTCGGAGGCGGACGGACATGGCCGACAGTAGCGGCTCCGAGAATCATCGCATCAAAAGCTTCAAGAACAAGGGCCGCGATGTGGAGGTGAGTGAGTGAGTGAGCGAGTGAGTGAGTGAGCGGCGGCCGCCGGGAGGGGCCGGACCGGGAGGGGAGGGGAGGACTCGGGGTCGCGGCCCCCCCCACCCCCCGGGGCTGGAGTGAGTGAGTGAGTGAGTGAGGTCGGGGCCGGGATCGGAGCTGCTCCGCCCCGGACACGCGGCCCGGAGTCACCGCGGGCCCGAGGCTGCGGCTGGGCCTCGGCCTGTGACCCGCCCCCGGGGGGGGGGGCGGCGGCGGCGGTGTTTATTCAGTGGAAAAAAAGAGGGGCCGCCGGAACCACACAGACACAGACCAACCCCCCACCCCCCCCCCGGGTGTGTCAGGGGTGGGGGGGGGGGGGTGTCAGGGGTGGGGGGGGGGTGTCAGGGGTGGGGGGGGAGGGCTCTGGGGTGGGGGGGGTGTCAAGGGTGGGGGGGGAGGGCTCTGGGGTGGGGTGGGGGAGGGTGGGGGGGGGTCAGGGGTGGGGGGGGGTGTCAGGGGTGGGGGGGGGAGTGCTCTGGGGTGGGGTGGGGGGAGGGTGGGGGGGGTCAGGGGTGGGGGGGTGTGTCAGGGGTGGGGGGGAGGGCTCTGGGGTGGGGTGGGGGGGGGGTCAGGGGTGGGGGGGGGAGGGCTCTGGGGTGGGGTGGGGGGGATCAGGGGTGGGGGGGGAGGGCTCTGGGTGGGGTGGGGGAGGGTGGGGGGGGGTCAGGGGTGGGGGGGGTGTGTCAGGGGTGGGGCGGGGGAGGGCTCTGGGGTGGGGCGGGGGAGGGCTCTGGGGTGGGGGGGGGTGTCAGGGGTGGGGGGAGGGCTCTGGGGTGGGGGGGGGTGTCAGTGGTGGGGGAGGGCTCTGGGGTGGAGGAGGGTGTGCCCTGGGGTTGGGGGGTGGGCCCTGGGGTTGGGGGGTGTGCCCTGGGGTTGGGGGGTGGGCCCTGGGGTTGGGGGTGGGCCCTGGGGTTGGGGGTGGGCCCTGGGTTGGGGGTGGGCCCTGGGGTTGGGGGGTGGGCCCTGGGTTGGGGGTGGGCCCTGGGTTGGGGGGTGCTCTGGGGTGGTTCCCTAGGGATGGGGGAGGGGGGGCTGCTCTAGGATGGGGGGGTGTGTGTCGGGTGGGTGGGGGGGAGTGTGCTCTGGGGGGGGGGGTTTGCTTTAGGGTGGGGGTGGTTGCACCCTGGGGTGGGGGTGTTCTGTGGGGTGGAGGGGGTGCACTCTGGGGTGGGGGTGCGTGTGTGGCCTGGGGTGGGGGTGCGTGTGTGGCCTGGGGTGGGGGTGCGTGTGTGGCCTGGGGTGGGGGTGCGTGTGTGGCCTGGGGTGGGGGTGCGTGTGTGGCCTGGGGTGGGGGTGCGTGTGTGGCCTGGGTGGGGGTGCGTGTGTGGCCTGGGGTGGGGGTGCGTGTGTGGCCTGGGGTGGGGTGCTCTGGGGTGGGGTTGGTGGGCGCTCTGTGGGGGGTGTGGTCTGTGCGCTCAGGGGAGTGGTGGGGGGTGTGTGGTGCGCTCGGGTGGGGGCGGTTGAGTAGTGCGCTGGGATATGTGGTGCACTTGGGGGGGGGTTTGTGTGCGCTCGGGGCGGGGGATGTGCTGGGGGGGTTGTGTGATGCGCTCGGGGCGGGGGATGTGCTGGGGGGGGTTGTGTGTGGTCCTCTTGGGGGGGTGTGGTGCGCTTGTTGGGGAGCTGTTGCTCTGCGGTGAGGCTGTGTGCTCCGGGGTGTGTGCTCTAGGATAGGGGGAGGTGTGCTCTGGGGTGGGGGGGTTGGTGCTCTGGGGTGGGTGGGTTGGTGCTCTGGGGTGGGGGTGTTGGTGCTCTGGGGTGGGTGGGGGTGTGCTCTGGGGTGGGGGGGGGGTGTGCTCTGGGGTGGGGGGGGGTGTGCTCTGGGGTGGGGGGGGTTGGTGATCTGGGGTGGGGGGGGTTGGTGATCTGGGGTGGGGGGGTTTGGTGATCTGGGGTGGTGGGGGTGTGTGCTCTGGGGTGGGGGGTGGTGTGTGTTCTGGGGTGGTGGGGGTGTGCTCTGGGGTGGGGGGGGTTGGTGCTCTGGGGTGGGGGGGTGTGTGCTCTGGAGTGGGGGGTGGTGTGTGTTCTGGGGTGGTGGGGGTGTGCTCTGGGGTGGGGGGCTGTGTGCTCTGGGGTGGGGGGGGTGTGTGCTCTGGGGTAGCGGGGGTGTGCTCTGGGGTAGCGGGGGTGTGCTCGGTGGTGGGGGGGTGTCTGCTCTGGGGTGGGGGCTGTGCTCTGGTGGTGTGTGCCCTCCAGGTGGTGCTCTGGAGGGTGGTGGTGCTTGAGGGGGGGCGCGCGGGTTGGGCGCTCAGGTTTGTGTTGGGGCGTTCGGGAATGGGGTGGGGGGGCGCTCCTGGCTGGTGAGGCTCGGGGGATGGAGGGCCCTCAGGTGGACGGGGGTCGCCCCCCAGGAGAGGGGCGTGGTGTCCGGTGTGTGCTCGTGGAGGGTGGTGTCCGGTGTGTGCCCGTGGGGGGTGGTGTCCGGTGTGTGCTCGTGGAGGGTGGTGTCCGGTGTGTGCCCGTGGGGGGTGGTGTCCGGTGTGTGCTCGTGGAGGGTGGTGTCCGGTGTGTGCCCGGGGCAGGGGGGCACCTGGTGTGTGCCTGGAGGATTGGTGGGGGGGACGCGTGATGGTTGTCTGTCATGTGCCCTGGGGTGGGGTGGTGTCTGGTGTGTGCCGGGGGGGGGGAATGTTTGGTGTGGTGCGTACCCTGGGGGTGGGGGAGGTGTGCTCTGGTGGTGTGTTTGCTCGGGGGTGGGCCGGGGGGGTGTGGGGGGTGGGGGGTAGAGTGGGGATTGTGCCTGGGGTGTGTGCTCTGGGGGTGTACCTGGTGTGTGCTCGGTGGGGGTGGGGGACACCTATTATAGTAATTTTTACATTTGATCTAATCCCTGGTTAATGCTCTGGTGATCGTCACTCGGGTCGTCTCTGCTGATTGCTCCAGGGTTATGGCTGTGTGATTAGATATCGGCAGAGCTCAGTCAGTCACGCTCTTGCCTCTGAATCAGAAGGTTTCGAGTTCAAGCTACACGTTGGGATTTTGAATTCGGTTTAAGATGGCATTTGAAGTCACCGCTGGGGTGCACTGCACCGTCAGCGTTGCCGTCGTTTGGACGAGACTTTAAACCATCTGGCTGTTTACTTGGACCTTTAAGATCCCGTGGCACTCATCGAAAAGAGAAGGAGGTTTCTCCCGGTGTTCTGGCCAATAACCCCACAGATAAAACTGGTCATTCACTGTTTGTGGGACATGTAGCTTAGATTACCATCACTGTAGGGTGGAAGAGAGCATTGTTTTACCAATGCACTTCCATGGTTGATCAGATGATTTTGTAACGGTTCCTGTGAGGTTTATAGTATTGGAGGATTGGAGAGACCACTTCCCCAATGAGTATTAATGAGTATTTGGTGTCGTAGTGCATTACTGTAAGAACTGCTAGTTGACTGCAGCTGATTATTAATGCAGATGACGCCTGTTCTTTTTCAGACTATGAGAAGACACAGAAATGAAGTGACTGTTGAACTGAGAAAGGTAACGACAACTGTTTTTGCTCATGTTTGCTGCTGCATCACTGAGAGTTAAAATCATCGTAAAAGTGTGGTAACTAACTGGTGTAAATCAGACAGAGCGCTTTTAATATTTTTTGATGACATTTATCAGGTATCATGTGAATGTATATGGTTAGGAACTTATTCAGTACTCCGGAAATGTCAGTACTGGTTTTAGTGACAATTATTTCTGTTATGCCAATTACCTGAATTTTATAGCTCAAATGAATGTTATCGTACAATTCGAATGGGTGGTATTTGATTAAGTGCATGTCAAGCGATGTCCTCAGTACAACCGTTATAAATGGGGACCAGTAAAATGAGGAAAATAATCATTGGTTTCTGTTTGTCTTGGCGTGGCTTGAATTATTTTCCTATATCCCACTGCTGGCTTGTCAGCAGGTCCACATGCTTGATTAAACAATAAAAACATTTTTAGGTCATTCCATTTATTTTGCCGTCATTTCTCTCCCTCCCCTCTCCACATCCCCCTCCTCCGCCCCCACATGGCTCAATTGGTAACGATGGTTCAAAGTGTGAAACCGAGTCAGACAAAGGTTTGTGATTAGTTAGCAGATCTCAGCTTCGGTAGTTGTAGGGACCTTATAATTTGCCTCAGCTCCCTGGTCTATAGAGAGGAAAGTTGATCCACAAATTGTGCCTCTGTACACTATCCAGTGACTAATGTTGGAAAATGTATGCATGGATGTAGACTGAGGAAAGGATGAGCTTTTGCAATGCAGTGGAACAGTCTGTCAACATTTGCTCCTTTCTCCTTGGGGAAGTATCTGTCCTCTGCATGTTTCATCTCAGGAACTCTGTGATTTGGGGGCGAGAGGATTTCGGCTGCATCGGTACATAAACATGTTGTGCCAATGTATCACCAGAAACCGTTACACCAGTATTAAGTAATACCAGGTGTCTGACAGGTAAGTATCTGGTCTCCTCTTGACTCCTTATATTGGCACAACTGGGGTTCTATACTCTCTGTGTGGATGCTCACGGACCAGTAATCGCATCTTGCAGTGATGACGTGAACATATTGGGCTGCCAATGTGCTTAAGCAATTTGCAATTCTTCATTTTTTAACATAAAGATTTGTGTTCTTTATGTATGGGATGCACTTCGAATCACTTCAAGAACTCAAGACCAACTATGTTTCAGTTCTACTTCAATAACATACCCCAACCCCAGCTCAGACAGTAATGACTTATCAAGAGTGATAGTAATAATCTTTGCATTTAATATAGCACCTTATCAAGTCTTCGAGACGTCTCAAAACACTTCACAAAATATACTGTAAAGTGAATTGACTGTATATTTTTTGGTACTGAGAAGAAGATGGACTGAGATCCAAGAGTATCACATGTGGGGCTTTTACAACCAGCAGAAAGAGGGGATTCAAGTTAATCCTTGCCATAGGATGTATTTTTATTGCGCTCCCAACGTGTAGCTTGAACTCAATGTAATTTTTGAAGTTCTGCATATTGTTTGAAGGGAGAAACCTCTCTTTTCCCTTATTCGATTATGACCATAGGTGTAGTCAAAAAGGTAGGGTTTTTGCAATATAATACAAATTTACATTTAAATTGTGCCTTTCATTTTGGGAGGACATCCCAACGTGCTTAACAATCCTAGTTTAGCACTCAAGCTGTGGGTGGGGTTGGTGGGGAGGGAAAAGATGAGCAAAAGTCTGTTCAGAGGTAGTTCTTGAGACAGACGTTGAAAGAGGTGAGGGAGGGAGTGGGATGGAAGGACTCCTGGAAGGAGTTCCAGAGTGTGGGGTCAGAGAGTGGGGAAGCCCGAAAGCTACCTTTACCCACTCTCGTGCAAATTATAAATCCCCTGCCCTCTATTGACACTTCCCATTCCGCCCACCAAATACCTTATTATGGGGGTAGAACACAGAGCTGAATAATGGGGGGGAAAAACTGCACTTGGTCTTTGTTTCCCAACTCAATCCTTATTGCTTATTACCCTTAGCTTCAAAGAGCAAAGAACTCTCTGTCAACAGCAGGAAATGTGGCACATCAGTCAAGGCTAGGTTCTAACTCTTGACCCCTTTATTCAGATTTCCTGCATTTAACTACTGCAGCAGCTACCACAGATTTGTCTTGTTTGTCAGTTCCTTATTATTGCTTTGAATTCTTCGTTTTCCTAATGCGCTGTGATTCAGTTGGCTGGGGGGTGGGGGCTGGAGGGGTGGTAGAACAGGTTGCATGTGGATCTCACCAACTGCTGTTCAGTAATAGTGAATTCAATAATCATTAAAATGGAGCAATGTATCCACTTCATTTCTAGTTGCCCACTGTGAGCGTTGGATTCAAGGGAGACTGAGGCACAGCAGATGAATCTCATTATTTGTGTTCAAAGGGGATGTGTTATCACGAGTAGACTTTGAGATTGGCTTTTCTTTGCAACAAAATTAGATTAAACCTTCTATTAGTTAAGAGAACAAAGAGTCATGGCTTCAAAATAAGAAAGGCAAATAGAAGGGAATGTTCTGTAATGGGATGACAAGCATGTGGAGTAAACCACCAGCACTCGTAGTATAACAAGGAACCCTAGGTCGGACTTCATTATAACCTGGAGTCCCGTAGCTCAGTGGTTAGAGCCCTTGTCTCGCAGGCTAAACGACCTGGGTTCGATTCCTGGCAGGACAAAATGTTGGACAAGTTTCCTTACTACACCTACCTCTGTTTACAGTAAGTAAGAACCCGGTTGTTAGTCGATTGCGGATCGCTTTTCCAGGGGTAATAATCCCTCCAATAAAAAATAATAATTTGGTTACTCAATCCACGACCGTTTGTGATTCATTGCTGTGCACAATTGGCTGCCGTGTTTTGCCCACAAAATATTTAGTTTACAGTATATTCTGTGAAGTGTTTTGAGACGTCTCGGAGATGTGAGAGACGCAATATCAAATGCAAGGATTATTATTATGTTAGTAGGTGATTTAAGCCTGGAAATGTATCTTCTGTTTGATCTCTTCAGATGGAAGTATTATGGGTGGGGGTGGGCTCTGGAGGTTGGGGGTGTTCTCTGGGGAAGTATCTTCAGATAGCGGTATCATGTGTTTTGGTGTAGCACTGATCTATTTTAGTGTGGGAGCACCATGGACTGTCAGTACATTAGACTTGTGGTGGTTGCTAGGCTGACAGTTCAGTTTTGTGCGCATGCCAAGAAGGCCTCCTTGCATTAGTGGTATCCAAGTAATGTCTGAAACGCTTGCGAGAGCACTTGCCAGTTTTCTGTGCTCATGAGCAGGGTTATATATAAGGGCTCCAAAAAGGAAACTGACAAGTTCCTGGAAATTAAGGGTCATGAGATGGTCAAGGAATCTACAGAGACGTTTAATGCGTAAGCTAAATAACTTGTGCTATAGGGAGAAATCGTTTGGTGTGTGTGTATGTATTTCTCTATATATGTAGAGAACCCAATATCCACACTTAATTGGTAAGGCCTCAATGTGAATTTACAGACAGCGTGTGTATTGTCTACGTTGATACTCCAATGCGGTGCTGGGGACCGGGGGTTGTATTATCATCGTTCTGATGAGACGTTAAGCCGAGGTCCTATCTGCCTGTTGAGGAGGAATGTTAAAGATCCCATGGCACTATTTGAAAAGAGAAAGAGGTTTCTCCCGGTGTCCTGACCAACAATCCCCCAAATAAAATTGGTTATTCTCTTCATGGCTGTTTGTAGGCATTGCTGTGCACAAATTGACTGCAGCTTTTGCACCCAAATACAGCCACTCCACTTCACAGTAAATCCTGTGAAGCGCTTTGGGATGTCCTCCCGACATTAAAAGGTGCTGCACCAAATGCAAGGTTTATTATTTCTACACAGTGACTCTGTTGCTTTTAGTTGTCACAAGAAACAGATTATTGTGAAATACTGTGAATCTCACTCCGATGTTTTTATGTTGACATTTTCACCCCCACATGGGTAAATAAAAAATATCTGCTTTTAGCATCTTTTGCATAAGGACATTTTATATTACATGTGCCAGTTTAATTGCTATTCATTTCTTGCAGAACAAAAGAGATGAACACTTACTCAAGAAAAGAAATGTGCCACAGGAGGAAAGTTTAGAAGACTCTGATGCAGATGTTGATTTCAAAGCGGTAAGCAAAGCCCAGATCGTTCAATCAAAGGTATCACGGGTGGAACCAGGATAATAGTTATACTAGAAACAAACTATTGTTATCTGTTGCACACCCCAGCTCCAGCTTAGCAGAGATAGAGCATTATTGTCCACTGGTGTTTATTATTTACCCCCAATATATTTTAAATTATCCTAATTCACGAAACAGATCAGCAAGATGGTGTATTTAATGCACCTGCATTTCCAGCAAAGATTTGTATTTTTACTGTAATAAAATGCCAAGTTTCAAAAACAAAATACTTTCCAGTTTATTCATCCAGACATCTAGAAGATGTAAATTCTGCCACATAAAATTAGTTTTAATGTATGACGAGGATTTTTTTTCTGGTGAGCCTTATTCTGGCCATAATCCAAAATATATAAATAAGATCCCATGGCACTCTTCAAAAATAGTAGGGAGTTTCTTCTGCTGTCTTGGCCAACAATCCCCAGATAACATTGGTCAATCAGTTTATGGCTTTGCGGGACATTACTCTTTGCAAATTGGCTGTCACATCTGCCTACAAGTAGTCAGTAGTGCTGGCCAACCTGTGGCCCGCGGGCCGGAAGTGGCCTGTGGGCCATCATGAAATGCCCCCCCCCCCCCAAATATTCACAACAATCTAGGTAAATCCCTGTTCAATTGTTAGCGTATTTGCAGTTTTTCTTTCTTGATTGATTTATGGCATAAATCAAAAAACATTCAACGAAGAAGATTTGTTTTGTTGGCCGACCATGAAGTTTGTCTACCATTGCTTTACAGTGAAATTCTATGGGCTGTTTCAACTAATAACATCTTGCATTTATATAGCAAACTTTGTGGGGTTAATGTTTTGAAGTGCTGGATAAGGCACTATAAACATACAAATTTGATATAATGGATTACTATTTGCAATTTGTATGTAAGATTAGAGGTAAGGTTTTTTGGGGTGATTTAAAAATGAAGTGCTCAAATTGCACAAAGGGTGTTTTTCCTAAATCAATGATAAGTTTGTCATGGGAACCACAAGAGAAATGGTTCCTGTGAATGTCATGAATATTATCGCTGTGAATTGTGTGGCCAAGGCTTCCCGAAATTCTGCTCCCGCAATTGGACTTTTTGTGGGTGAATAGCGGGTGGCTCACTCGAAAACTAGACTGAGCCACACAAAGGGACTCACTGACAAAGAGAAAAACAAGACTGACAAGATTTCTGTGTCACCGTGGCTTAGTTGTAGCATTCTCACCTCCGAGTCACGTTTGGACTTTAATCTCATATAGTCGATGATCACACTCTGATGCAATGCTGGGGATGTGCAGCACTGTGGGAAGTGCCATCTTTGATGAGATATAAAACTGGGGTCCTGTCTGCATGTTCAGGTGGACCTCAAATATCCCATGGTGCTATTTGAAAAGTGAAGAGAGTTTCCTGGCCAATAATCCCCCAAATAAAATTGGTTATTCTCTTCCTGACTTGCCTAGAAATTACATTGTATATTCTGTGAGTCTAAGAGTCCCCCTGACATGGAAGACGAGCGTTGTTAAGTGGTCACTCTTGAAACTCGTTCAGTTGTATTAAGGGGGTTGAAGGATTTCGTCTAGAAGTGGGCTTAACATGCCTCTGGGCCATTTTCCGCTCTTTCCTATTTATGTTCCATGTATCAACTTTGTGAAACTTTCGTAATTCTGCAGAAACAAACACACTTCTTGAAAACTTAAGACATTGTTTTTTTTTACAAATTGAAAGTGTTTCAAATCTGTTTTCTTTTTCTCTAGCAAAATGTTACACTGGATTCTATCCTTCAGGTAAGGGATTTGAACTGTTTATTTTACATTCAAGATATTTGCCCTTACCATAGCAAAATAATTAAATAGTTGTAATTGTTTTTGTAAAATCAGTTATTTGGAGAATCAAGGCTGTAACATTGTTGCTGCTTTTAGACAACTATAACAGCAAGAAAGAGCTAACTCAACCATTCACCTGAACTGCAAAATTAGATTATTCATTGAAAACCAGTATTTTTAATACTATAAGATTACTAGAACTTTTATGATTTTAATATGGGGACATGTCTGAAGACATTGGTGAGACATTCCATACAGTTGATTGAACTCTAATCCTCATTTGCAGAACTGGACATTTCTTGGCCTTATCTCCTGCTTCAACCCGAATGCTATGCAGGTTTCTGAAAGGGCCAATCGTGTCCCATGTAAATACATTTCTGTTAGCTAATCTAGGAATGAGATTATTTGGGCTTTATTACTGACTAGGCCATCTTGGCTAGAATGGGAAGTGACTGTGTACTCACCTGGCTCAGGAGCTGGATTACTGACACCACCGCAAAAGATCAAATTGATTGTAATAATCCATTGCCAGGCACATCACTTTGGAGCCAGCTCAGCCCCATGGAGACCCAATTTATTCTCTCCTATCCCCCCCCAGCACATGAGTTTATGATTTCAGAGATGTAGTGGTGACTATTTAATACCTCCTATAAAACCATTTTTACATTTTTTTTTAAAAAAGGTTAATCTCTACTCATCTCTATACAACAGGCTTGTGATGTTACAATCTGAATTAGTATTATGTTCAAAATGTCGCTGATGGTCATTACTATTATAAATTTAGTACTGAAAGAAGTATTTTGTTTTTTTATGCTTAATCATCATACAGCTGTAAGTGATTATTATTTCTAAGCAAAGAGTTATCGCTTGAGTTCATGTTTTACTTTTGAGTTGGCCTTGGAACATTTTTGCAGCATTTATTTTGCTACTTTGAAGTGTGCTTGTTTCTGTGATTTTTCCTTTTAGTGTGCTTTTTGTTAAGACTGATTAATTTTCTTTACTACTTGATGTATTTTGGCCAACACATTGGGTACCAACCATAGTAAGCTCTGTATAAGACATTGATTAGACAAGCTGGTAATCCATTTTTATTGTAGAATAATATGAGCCATGGTGAAGTTTCAGTGTTTTTTCACTGGGGTGAATGATGATGATGATAATAATAATTTTGCCCACAAAACACAGTCAATTCACTTTACAGTATATTCTGTGAAGCCCATTGAGACACCTGGAAGACGTGATAAGGAGCTATATCAAATGCAAGGATTTTTATAATAATAAACCAGGGATAAGAGCATTTAGTTTTGATGAAAGGCTTAAACACCTGATACTGGAGCATAGAGGGTTAAGATGGGATCTAATATAAGTGTTTTAAATGATGAGAATTTGAAGGGATAAATAGAAAAGATTTTTTCCATTGGTTAATTAATTGGCAACAAGGAGGTAAAACCAAAGTTTTTTTTACTAGAACCATAAAAGGGAGGTCAAATGAATTGGTTTTACACAAAGGGTTACTAGAATGTGGAACTCCGTACCATATGTGGCTATTGAAGTTGAGTCAATACTGTCTTTTAAAAGGGAATTAGATAAACATTTACAGAATAAAGGAGTGTGTCCAGAAACCTAGGAAAAGGGTGCGTTCTGGTGGGGAGGAAGCAAATACAGGCTTGATGGGCCAAATTGCCTTCTGTGCTGAAATTTCTTATGAAGTTAGCTTCACTTGTGAGGGAATTTGTATCACATCATTGTTAAAATGCATAGTGTAGAAAGCCAACAAATAACAACTAAATTTCTGCATTATGGCAGTTAATATTTACTAAGCTTTATTTTTTACTTTTCCATTATTACTTGCAGAATGCAACTAACGAAAATCCAGTAATTCAACTAAGTGCTGTACAAGCTGCAAGGTAAGGCTTTTGTTTGTTTTGTATTGATTGTTGAATATGCAAACATTATTTTGTGAATTTGTGGTTGAATTAATATTTTACTTATATTGATTTAAACTCGTACCTAGAGTGGCTTAAGTCAGCTATTTCAGGAACCAGTCTGAGATCTATAATATTTATGCTACAGACATGGGGTGTTTTATATAAAAAAGATCAATTATGTAGACAGAGCAAGGATGCCTGTGTGGTGACATCAGGTCATCACTTTGCTATCATCTGTTGCCTCAGGATATGTGGAGAGATTAAAGTCTCAATTTTAGTCAGATGAGGCACAGCCTGAAAGGCCAAATGGCCTGTATATATCTATGGTTCTGTGAAGCACCAGTTTACATTGAGGGCACTTGTGAAACTTATTTCTTGGAGGGTTGAGTTTTCAATCTGACAATAGGGTGGGGTGGTGTATTGTCCAGATTGCAATGGAGTAAGCTTTCTTGTTTGGATAAGAGATTGTCTCAATAACTATTTTTATTTTATTTTCTTCAAATGTTTTTCAGTCCTCCAGCCTTCAGAGTAATATACAGTATGATTTAGATGAGATGTTAGTGCTATAAAGATCAATTTTCACACCTGAAATGAGCTATGCTAGGGTATGATCTATGCCACTAATTGAGATTGGCCCATTGTGGATCTGGAAACAGTATGGATAATTGGTTATATTGTAAAAAAAAATAATGTTTCTTAAATCATGCAGGAAGTTGTTATCAAGTGATAGAAATCCTCCAATTGATGAACTGATTAACTCTGGAATCCTGCCAGTCCTGGTACGTTGTCTGGAGAGAGATGGCAAGTAAGTGTTGCTGCGTAACAATCTTCATAATGGTCATTTCATCGACATAAGATGTGAAAAAAATTGGGTTAACTAGAGTGTTGCCTAGTCAATCTTTATTTTGCAGGAACTTTACGAAACGAAAACAGCATTTTACATGGTATACCAGTTATACTAACTATTCTAGCATGAAACTTTGCTTTCTTGTTACTCTTTCAGTTCACTGAAAAACATCATATTTTGGGATGTTAATTGATTTTGACTTTGAGATTCTGTAGTGTAATTTGACAGTCTGGCTCAGTTGGTAGCACTCTTGCCTCAGGGTCAGAGGTTGTGAGTTCAAGTACTATGTTGGGACTTTTAACGCACAGAGTCCACACTGACTCCAGTGCAATGCTTAGGCTATGCTGCACTGTTAGAGGTGCCATCCTTCGGATGAGAAGTTAAACCAAGGCCCCCTCTGTGTCTGTTAAAGATCCATTGCACTACTCAAAAATAAAATTGGTAATTTCATGGCTGTTTGTGGGACATTGCTTTGTGCAAATTGGCTGCCACATACGCCTACAAAATATACAGTTACTACATTTCACGGTGAATCCTGTGAAATGCTTTGAGACATCCTCCTGATGTGAAAGGTGGTATATCAAATGTAAAAATTGCATTGTAATACAATATTGTCCATTGAGTGAAGCCCTCAAGGCTAAATGTTAAATGTCTCAGCACATTACATCTGATTAATATAAGGATTTATGTTTTCACTGGAGTTATTGGTATGCAACATAATGAAAATGTGCCCAAATCCAATTTATGTTCTTTAGAGCTTGATTTTTTTGGTATATTGTATGATGCTAATATGTTTTGTTATGTTATAGTCCTTCTCTGCAGTTTGAAGCTGCCTGGGCATTGACTAATATAGCATCTGGAACTTCTGCACAAACTCAAGCTGTAGTTCAAGCAAGTAAGTGATGTAAACAATTTGCAAAAACAAATATAAATTACTTTCATGTTTTATATCTTGTAGTTCAGCACATGCTAATATATCCTTTGTTTAATGTAAAATATTACACATAATGTTTTTCTGTTAAACAGTATAACATAACACTATATAACTGCATATATTGGCTACCAATTATTCTGTTTATAAAACTAGATTCTCTCAGAGACTGAATATCTTTATGGAAATATAGCATTCTTTCTGTAGGTGTCAGTTGATAGCTGAGTCGGAAGATTATGGGTTCAAACATCATGTTGGGATTCTGAACTTGGAGTTTAGCTTGACACACCAGAGCACTGTTGGGGAAGTGTTGCATAGTTGGAGGTGCTGTTCTTTAGATTAGATGATAATCAGAGGTCCCATGTGCCTGTTTAGGTGGACATTAAAGCATCATGACACTATTTGAAAACACTAGGGCATTCAATGCCTATCAAAACAATCCACCCCAAATAAAAAAGTTCATTAATTTCTGTTGTTTCGGTTGTTTCGGGGATATTGCCATCCACAAATATGCAGTCACTACACTTTACAGGAAACATAGTGCTTTAGATGTTTCAACATAAGGCACTTTATCAAATGCAGGGATTCCTATATTCTTTAGTAATGTTCAACATGCATTAGTTGTAGAAAGTATTTATTTTATCAAGGAGTAAATCATGTTAGGCTTGATTTATTTTTGAATTGCCACGCTTTGCAGGAGTTTTTTTTTAATTTTGTACTGTTGTATACATTCCACATCCAATACAAACTTTGCACATCTGTTTTTTCTTGTGTAAAAGGAAATGCATAACTAGAGTTACAGAATTATTTGTATTTAATTTTAGAGACCTGTAGTTTTAACAGATTCTGGAATATTGGATGAAATGTGAAAGATGGGTATTAGTAGAAATAACAGGAAGTGTGGCAGCAGTAAAGTATGAAATCCAGTTCAGCTGTTTAAAAATCGTTTGACAGCTGTGGTAAGAAGAGTGAAAGGAAAAGACGGTTTTCTTTAATAGAAATCTGAAGTGCAACAAAAATGCTGGAAATGCCCAGCAATCTGCTTCCAAAAGTGAGAGTCAAGCCAGTGAGAGTCTCATTTCTCAACACTTCACAAACTTCCAATGACCCAGTCCAGCATTTTCTGCTTTTTTAAAAATACATGTGTTGGCAGTTAGATTGTATAGCAGTTTATGTATACAAGTTTGTTTTAATGAATAAAATGTCCACAAGTATAATATCCTTAAAACTTAGTTCTGGTTAAAATTACTGCACACAAGCATGCAAAGAGCCTTACGTAAACATTTTCTGTTTTAGTGCAAATTTGTATGTGCACACTTTCCAGTTAAGTTTGTTATGCATTTTGTTTATTGATTGTTGCATCAGTCTGGTCGAGGTTACTTTGCTGCTTATAGAATTGGTACCAGCGCTAAGTGTAGGTATTCTAGAGCATAGCTGAAAGTAACAACCTTGGCTGGAGGGAATTTCTTCCCATCAAGAAAAATAGTGGAGCCCCTTTATAACACGCTGGGTGGTATTCATAAAATCCCAACATATGAGAACTAAAATCATAATGTAAGAATGATGTGCAAAATCAGGATTTCTATATGGATTTGTAAGTATAGAATACAGCAGGTAATTGGATGTGTTTCATTACCCATTCTTGATGCTGGATCCATTCAAATTTTCAAGACTGAGGTGGATAGATATTTGTTAGGTCAGGGTATCAAGGGATATGGGGCTAAGGTAGGTAATTGAGGTGCAGATCAGCAGTGATCTTATAGAATGGCGGAACAGGCTTGAGGGGCTGAATGACCTACTGCTGTTCCTATGCCCTGTGGATGCCAATCTCATTTCCAACTCTCAAGGGAGGCATCCCACTCATTTGAGATCAGCATCTTAACAGAGCTCTGTGGGTCTACATGAAATATATTTGATTAAATTGCAGCATTTGATATTTTAGAATTCTGTTATAAATACCTGTATATTGGACCTCAGTGTACTATTGGCGTCAATTTTAAGCTTCTATCAATGGATTGATTCACCGTGTCTCTCAGTTGTTCACTTGGAGGGATTCCTTCCCAATAAAACATAGGTTATTGGATCACACTACTGGTCCAGTAGAAAGTGGGTGGCTAATGTGGTGAATTGAAGTAAAGAAGGAACCATGTTATCGAATGGTGGATGGGGTCTGTAAAATCCCAAATTGTGTTTATAATGGTTCCATAATAGCTGGTTTCATTGTGCATCAATGCAACCAGTTGGCTCGCCTCTTGCTTGCCAGCCGACTATCGTGGACTTAAAAAAAAAAAGTCTTTTGAGTAATGATGTTGCTTTCTGCACACATGCAAAATGAGTGGGGTTCACCCTATGTTGTAACTGGGTTCTTCAATAGTTTAGTGTATTAAAACCCCCATTTCCATTAACTACAGGAATGAAGTAGGGGTGCTTCAGTTTAGTTTCTATATCCAGCTCTTTCCTCCATAGGGTCAGTAGCTAACATATGTCCTCCTCTGTCAGCACGATCTTTAAAAAAACAAGTGTTTGCTGTACTTCTGTAGTTTCTAGAATCATGGACAAGAGTTTGCTGTGTGAGCACAGTGCAGCAAACGAGTGTTTGCATCTGAATGCATTCACTGATTAATAAGACAAGTCTCACTCCCATTGGAACACTGCAAAATGTGCTGATTTTTGTCCAGAAGCCCATTGTTAATTTTGTGACACTTTACTCTGGATAGATTGGGTAGTTGAGCTGAGAAGTGGCAAATGTCGTGTTCCATGGCTAAATATAAAGTGATGAGACTGGGGAGGAGGAATAAGCAACTGAAATATATGCTGAAGCCTACAGGACACAACTCCGGAGAAGCATCTGGGGCTATTGGTAGGTAGCTCATTGAAACCATTAACACAGTATACCGCAGTAGTAAGGAAATTGAATTAGGTTTTAGGGTGTGTAGCACGACTGATGGAGTGTGGAGGATAAGTGACAGAATGTGACGATGGTAGAGATTGGGGATTATGTTGATATTTTAAATAATGAGGTCACTAGATGGACGTAAGTGGTCCTTTCTGGTGCAGTGAGTTTCAACTCTATTGTTACGAATATAAGGCGAGATTTTTCCCGCCGAATTACTGTTTCAAAATTGCTAAATTGCTACTTGTCATATTCGCAGACTACCCACAACAGTAGAACATCCCAATATAGATACAGAAGTCACCATTCGACTCGCCAAGCTACTCCATCATTTTTTTTAGATTATGGCTGATTTGTAACACAGTATCACCAGCCTGACTCAATGGTAGCATTCTTACTTTTGAGTTGGAAGGTTTTGGGAACTTTGAAATCTGCTTATGTTGATACTCCATTGTGGTCCCGGGGAAGTGCATTGTCAGAGGTGCCATCCTCGTATGAAATGTTAAGCTGGGGTCCCGTCTGTGCTTGTTCAAGTGAACGTTAGTGATCCCATGGCAGTATTTGAAAAGAGAAGGGAGTTTCTCCTGGTGTCCTGACCTATAATACCCCAGATCCCCCAGTCATTCACTTCCTAACTTGTAGAGTATTGCGGTGCACAAATTGCTTGCTGCATTTAACTACAATTACATGACCTTAATGAATTAATAAGGTATTCCATGAAATGCAAGGATTAGAGAGAGAGGTGGAAAGTTAGATAGAGAAAGAATTGGAGAGAATCTGAGCAAGTCAACAAGAGGGAGGGAATGTTGCAATGTGATGCAATGACAGCCATGGTGAATAGGTAAATGCTATCACTATTAGGGTAATTTTAATGTACTGTAATATTGTTCTCAAATTATACAAAATCTCTTTTTGACTGCTCTACAATTACTGTATTCCACTTTTTACCCTAAATATAACTATGAAAATTGGAGTTGCTTTATATTTGGAGCAATACAGTATATTCCCAATCAGTTAGCAATTCAGTGAGTTTCAGGTTAGGACTAAACCATTGGCCCATCTACAACAACAAAATTACATTTGTATAGTGCCTTTCACGTCGGGAAGACGTCTAGCCTATCCATCTTGTGTTTGAGCCTTGGCAGTGACTTTGAAAGATGCAGTGGACGAAAAATCAAATCAGTGACTTGAATAATAATGGGAAACGTGTGGAACGAAACCAAAGTATTTCTTTTAATGAGCTGATCTTAAAGGAATTGACTTTCAGTTTCATCCTTCAGAGCAACCTCAATTCTTCATTTCTTTCATTTATTGAATGATATTAGCCTGGGGACTTTGAGTCCCAAGTCAGAGGAGGCAAAACAATTGGCTAGTAGGATTCCTAATCCATTTTATTACTGAGAAGATCTTATTGGAAATCTATTTGTGTGAATGTATTAACAGGATCAGGCTTGTTTGTATTGGCTTCCGCAGTGATTAGCATGCCAATGCACATAGGCTGGAGTTGCAAATGGAGAGTGAATGCATTTTTTTTACTAGTTTCTGCTTTGCTTGTATATGAGAGGAGAGTATTGCTAATGGACTAATATGAATGAAGATAACATTTTATGTTTTGGTTATAGGTGCTGTACCTCTTTTTCTGAGATTACTTCACTCCCCACATCAAAATGTTTGTGAGCAAGCAGTCTGGGCACTTGGAAACATCATAGGTTTGCATCACTTCAGCATTTAGTATTTAAATGTACCAACAATATAATTTTGCTGTTTTTTTTGAAAACCGAGATGTTACGTCAACATTTTCATTAAACTGTTGTGAATACAACAGACACATTTATGGTAGAGCATTAATCATTTCATGAAACTTTCCAGATTTTCATCTCTAATGTAAACACTTTCATTTCTTTAGGTGATGGTCCTCTGTGTAGAGACTACGTCATCTCACTGGGAGTTGTCAAACCTCTTCTGTCCTTCATCAATCCCTCCATCCCCATCACTTTCCTCCGTAACGTCACATGGGTCATAGTTAACCTATGCAGGAATAAGGATCCACCACCACCAATGGAAACTGTTCAGGAGGTAAAGAGATTGGACAAGCTTTGTGTGTCTGATATTTACAAGTGAAATTACCTTATGCTTTTGGCTACACTGCATATATTTTAAATTGGCTCGAGATCAAATGGAAATTCCATTTCCCTTGCACTCTTAATAGTTTGTTTAAAAAAAATGAATTTTCAAACATTTTGTCTAGGAATTGTGCTTAAAAATAATTCAGTAGCTTAAAACTATTGCCAATGGTGAAAATGTTTTAGGTTGTACAGTTTTGAATTCATAGTTTTAAGACATAGTCATAGTTTTTTCTCTCAAACACAATCAGTTGTGTGCAATGTTTGAGAAGGGCACATGCTATTTCAACCTTAAGGATTCCTTATAGTACCTATGCATTCAAAGCCTGCAAAGAAGAGAAATTAATATCTATCCGATGCTTTTCAAACAGTTATATTGATTACCTGTCCGCTTTTGTTAACTGGTACAGATTGAGGTTACTCTTTTTTTGTGCAATTTTATTCTTATGTTTCATGAAAGTGGCCTTGTAATAAGTGGTGCTATGGGAACAAAACAGACAATTTGCACTATTCAATATCAGATTTCACTTGCCACACTAGAGGTAATTGGAAAAGTGTCTTTGTACATGCTCAAGGTGTTCAGACTATTTTTTCTGTTGACAAAATAATGGGATCGGAATTGGGAAGAAAAAAAGCCAGAACAAAGTCACTGTTCCCAGCCTCTGCTACTATTACTTCAATATTAGTTGATTGGAAAACCTGGTAGAAAAATCTCGTGATTGTACAGACTAGACTGTATCACACAAATGTCTGGAGCAAAAAATTGCATCTGAAAGTGGCAGCTTTGATATAGAATGACACTCAAGTGTTGGTTGAAGCCTTGGTCCTGGAATCGAGAAGAGATAGAGTTGTGTGTCTTCCGCATACATATGGAAGTTGACCGTATGTCTGCTGATTATGTCACCAAATGTATCCACAAAATACAGTCACACCACTTTACACTTTATGCTTTGAGATGTCCATCTGACATGAAAGGTGCTGTATCAAATATTAAGTATTAAGTGGGAGCAAATTGATGATAAAAAGGTGAGAATAAAGGATCGAGCCCTGAAGAATGCCTCATGTAACTGTGTGTGTCAGAGGAGACAAAGTAAAGATGCTGGGATAGTAGGAATGAAACCAGAGAGTAGGAAATGGTGGAGAAGGATGCACTGTGTTGAAGGTGCCAGAGAGTTAATGAGAATAAGGATTAGAGAGAGCAGAGGTATCTTACTGGACTGGCACAATGATAATATATGTAGTCTTCATAACAGAGAGTCTACCTGCTGTACTCAATACCAGATTCCACAGTAATAGGTGATTAACAATGCCACATACCCACTATCGTGCAGTTTCTCTATTGATGCAAAGCAGTTTTCATGTTGCATTTCTGCAGAAACTGGTTTCCAATTGCAGTCTGAATTTTGGCAAGCTGGTTACTGCCACACTACAGCTTCCAGTGTTACTGGAATATTAACCAAAAAAACAAATCTTTCTTCATATAGGTTTACAATATAGCCACCACAGTTAACTGTTTTTATTAGTTTTTCCATGTACTATATCTGTAAAATAACTTTTGGGTTATAAAATGGTTTCATGTTCTGATAATGAATCGGTCAAACTTCAAACTCACAGTGTGATGTCATTTCAACCCCGCAATTGAATTACAGTCAGGTAATTTTCTCCTGAGTGTTCATAATTTCTCACACATCTTTCATCTCTTTATGTCATGAATAGCCACTTGGTTATTGCCAACTATTTGTTAATACAATTCCAGATATGCTTATGTGGTTGTGTGGGAACTGGCTAATGGTATGAAAAGTGTAATTAGCTAGTGGTAATAACTGGTCTGTATAACTCCAATGATGAGTATACAAACTATGGATTTATTAAATGTTTTTAATACTTGTTATAAATGTGTCAGTTGTGGCTGCTTCCTGATCAGATATTTTTAGTTTGTGCTTATTTTTCAGTCTAAGACTTACCATATAACATTTTCCTTGTCCCATAGATCCTGCCAGCATTGTGTGTACTCATATATCACACGGACATAAATGTAAGTACTCTACTATATGTGCTCATATCAATAAAATCATGTTATGTTTTGGAGCCTGAATTTTGTTTTCTTTGATTAGAAGTTATAATTGAAGCAGGAATTAGTGTCTTGGGTACAGTGCAATTTCTTTGTGGTTTGTCATTGTCTTCTAAAATAGTACAGTTTTGAACAGACAATATTTTAGTAGAAATGTGTATTCAAAACTATTCAACACATTAGCCACTAATCAATTCCACTATTCTGCTCATACCCTTTAATATTTTTTTTAACCCTGGCTCAGTTGGTGGCACTTATCTCTTGAGTCAGAAAGTTGTGGGCTAAAGCCCCAGATCGGACTTTGAGCTTGTAGGCTAACACTCTGATGCAGGGCTGAGGCAGCATAGCATTGGCAGAGGTGCCTTTGTGTTAGATTATACCAAATGCAAGGATTATTATTACTATCTTAAACTGAGATTCCAGCTGTCCCTACTAGTGAATATTAAGGATCCCTTTGTACCACACGAAAAGAGAAGTTTCACGAAGTCTTCTCACCAACAATCTCGGAATAATAGTTGTCATTCATTTGTCACAGTTGCTTGTGGGACATTGTGGGACGTCTCAAGCGCTTTGAGAAGTCTCAAAGAGGTTATGAGGCGCTATATCAAATCCAAGGGTTATTACTATTGTTTGGGGTAAATTGGTTGCATATTCATCTACAAAATACACCGTCACTTCACTTTGCAGTGAGATGTTTCCAACTGAACTAGGGTGACACACAAAGAGCCACTTATAATGATTTCACACCCAGTTTGCTATGTTTGAATTTCTGCAAATTTATCCCTCTAATTTACTTGTGTATCCTAGAACTCTGAACCCCACACTCCTACACATCTCCATCCATGTAATGACCTTCCTAATCTGCCTGCTCTGTGCGGATCAGTGACTGGCACTGGTAGCAGATCTGCAATTACAATTGTTGAGGTCCTACTCTTCTGCTCCTTAGTTTATCTCTTGGTTCCTTAATCGCTGACCCTAATCCTCATTGGAACAGTTTAGAATACATACTTCTATTCTCAAGTCGATTGGTGCATTGCTTTCCGGGTTAATAATCCCTTCAAAAATAAAATAATAAATTGGTCACTCAATTCCTGACTGTTTGTGTGACACTGCTGTGCGCATTGGACTGCTGCGTTTTTCCCACAAAATACAGTCAATTCACTTTAAAGTATATTCTGTGAAGTGCTATGAGATGTCTCAAAGATGTGATAAGGCGCTATATCAAATTAAAGGATTATTAAGATTAAGGCAAGACCTTAATCTTCCCTACATCATTGGTTCTGACATGAAATACTTCTGAGTAATCCCATCATATTTCAAGAGTGCCCGAATGCATTTCGGTGCACACATTACTCTAGCACCCGGGAGATAGATAATAAATCACAGTATTCAGGTCTTGTGTTGATGGTTACAGAAGTAATTGCCTATTCCCCTCAGTATTGAATCTTTCAATATTGCTGTGTTTCTGCATTTCATTCTCCTCTATTGGGCAATGCTTTTTTCTTTGTTGACGTTGCTGCCCTCTCCTGAGTTATTGCTTTTATTCGACTCTTACCACCTTGACAACAATTACCCTTTCTATTCCTTATCCTCTAACTGTGTGACTGTGGGGTGACCACCGCTTGGAATGTGCATTCCAGAAACCTCTCTTACCTTGGTTTCTTAAGATAAGCATCTACAACCTTAAGTGGTACAGCCAGCCACACCCATTTGCAAATTTGGGTGATCTGGATATGAAGAACTGTCCAGAGTGTTGGACTTTTAGATATGTCTGTCCTCCTTGTATGGTGTTAAACCGTTGTGCATCTCAAGATTTAAATGCCTGTCTTTGCCTGTGCTTTCTGCCAAGATCCTCATACCCCCCTCTTCTCACCTTGCTCAGTGATCAACCATAGCTATAATAGCAAGTATAAACTGAGGACACTTTGTTTGCGAAGTGATATCAGTGATGACATGAACATCGACCATTTTTCTGTATGAGAAGCCAGCTGTTCATCTCTGGAAGCTGGCTGTTAGCACGGGTCCATAGGAGGCCAATGGTATAAGCAAAGGCACACTATACTGGGGAGTGTTATGGTATAGTTGATCTACAGTTAGTTTCATTGGAAGAGCTGGATTAATGGGCTAAAGAGGCTCCTTCACTATAATTTCTATGATTCTAGCCAGTCTTTACCAATAGGTTAGGAAAAAAACGTATTGTTTTATCTTAATGAAAGCATTATAAAGCATTATTACCTTGTACTAGGCTAATTTCCATTGCCCCACATTTGGTGTGTGTGGAGGTGTGCAGGTTGGGGATGCGCATATGATACTATACAAACTCTTAATGTTACTTAGATGTTTGTGTGAGAAGGGTTGGTTTGAGATTCGATTTTCATTATATTCGTAAACTTTTTAAAAGATTCTTGTGGACACAGTCTGGGCCTTGTCCTACCTGACGGATGGAGGCAACGAACAAATACAGATGGTGATTGACTCTGGAGTGGTACCGTTCCTGGTTCCCCTTCTAAGCCACCAAGAGGTCAAGGTTCAGGTGAGGAGATATATATCTTTGTACCCATATTTAGGATGTTCCATTCCAGAGTGAATTATTATGTAGCCGTGCTCATTCTTTGCCATTTCTGTGATGGCCTTGATTTTGTTAACAGTGATCTTGACTTTTCTATAATGAGTTTAAATAGGTTCTGTGGACAGTGTCTGGTTTGATGTGTATGTTGCCCATGGGAAGGGCTTGAATAGGGCAGGCTAACTTTCCTGTCTAATATGAAGATTCCACCATTACTGCTCCACATTTTTTTAACTTTTTTACTTTTCACATTTTCCCCCCATTAACAAATCCACCTTTACTCCTGGTCTGGCCTTGTCTTGCCTGGATGGGGTTTCACGGGTGCTGGTTGCCCTAAGGTACCCTGCCCAAGAAGCCGTTATTCATGTGTGAGTCCTGCCAGTGAGTGTTGGCAAATGACTCAACTATAGAGGACATCACAGCTAAACCGGAACTCTCCCTACTAGCTGCCGCATGTATGCCCAACCATTAGAAGGTGCTGTGGAGAGACCAGGAGCTGGAAAACTGGATGATTTTCCTCTCCCTAAAAGCGGGATGGATGGGGCCAATTTAGTCTCCCCATGCAGCCCCAGCAAAGACCAACAAACTCAGCCCAGCTCAGCCTAGTGAGTTTCTGGTCCGTAACATGCCACTGTATCATTGGGATAGCCCCCAATGTGGTGATTTCTAATAAAATTCCTTCATAACTCCGAGTTGAAAATTGAGGATTTCTTCTGATAACCGGATGACCTTAGGCCAACTCACGGGAACTCTACTCTGACGGGTTCTCCTTCTGCATTGATGTTTTCATGGAATGATGTGGCATTTGAGACTCATTAAGGAATTGCGTTAGAAATGTTGCATTTTAGATCCAAATATATAATAGGTTAGCACAAGGGCTAAGATACTATGACAGAGAATAGTGCGGGGGAGGAGAAGGATGCAACACCCTTTCAGAATGGCCATTCTGGCCAGTTGACATTGGGAGCTGTTTGCCTGATTGCAGTGGAGGGAATAATGAAAATAAAGTAAATAAAGCTGTGATTTGTGTTCTCATTAAATATATAATGGTCTCTGTCTACACTTAAATGTCAGTGACTCAGCTTATTGTGTATTCTTGCAGAAGCCATTGTATAAACAGGATTAAACTGCAAGTGAACCCATGCTTATGCTTACTGAATTTTTTCAATAAGGATTTTTAGAAATGCATCACAAGAATAAGTAAATTCCCTCTTTTTTTCTTCTTTACAGACAGCTGCACTGAGAGCGGTAGGAAATATTGTGACTGGTACTGATGAGCAAACACAGGTTGTTCTTAACTGTGATGTGCTGTCACACTTCCCCAATCTCCTGACTCATCCAAAAGAAAAGATCAACAAGGTAAAAGTTGGTGACCTGCTATACTGATGTAGGACCTACAGATTTGTTCTACTGATGCCATTAAGTAATCTTATGTCAGTAACTTCCCGATGAAATGCATACTGTTTGCCTAATCCTGGAAAGTATTAGGCACAGGTTGGTAAGAGCTAAGACTTGGGGAACCAACAGTTTGTTGGGGGTGCCACTGGCCTTCAGAGTGAGCATCAGTTTGATCCCAGGCAGATCCATTTGCTTAAAATAGTAGTTTAAATAGTTCAGACTGTTTTATAACTGTTTTATACATACTTGACCTGTAAGAACTATTTAATTCAATAGTGACCAGATTCCATAATTTGTATTGATGTTTTGCTTGAATTCTTTTTGCAGGAAGCAGTGTGGTTCCTCTCTAACATTACAGCAGGAAACCAGCTGCAGGTCCAGGCTGTGATAGATGCCAGTTTGATTCCCATGATTATTCATCAACTGGCTAAAGTAAGCTGAATTCAATTAGAATTTATGTATAGCTAAATAGCTCAATGTCAACGTTTTTAAAAGGAATAAGGCCGCATTGTAGTCAGTTCAGTTAAACTGTTACTATGGGTTTGAAGTTATAATAATAATCATTGTGCTAGATGTAGCACCTCTGTGCTGAAAATTTCTATATGCTATGTTCCCACAGTATATGGCAGTCTGATAAAATGGGAGCTCTCACAGTCTGAAATAGTTGCTTCTTAAGTTGCATGTTCTATAGTTCTTTTCACTCTTGACAAATCAACTGACTGATGCTTTTCCTTTTTTCTGTTAGGGAGATTTTGGAACTCAAAAAGAAGCTGCATGGGCAATCAGTAACTTGACAATTAGTGGCAAAAAGGAACAAGTAAGTGAAAGTTGTTATGGTTCTGGAACGCAAAGATTATTTGTAGGAGGCAGCGCGTGTTTCAACTGAGAAGTGAAGCGAAGTGAAGCGTAAATTGAAAATCCTTTTAGATGTTTTATCTTCGCTGTTTTGTGTATGAAATGAAATATTAATTATGTAATACAATCATTCAACTGTGTGTTGCTGTGTGTAAATTATCTGCTCCATTCAGCCACAGAATACACTTAATGCACGTTATAGTATATCCTGTGAAGTGCTTTGAGATGTCTCGGTGATATGATAAGGATTATTATTATCATTATCAAATGCTTCCCTAAATGTTCAGTGGGGAACTATATAGAAGAGGAAGGTCCAATGAATTTGAAGTCAGCCCTGTTCTGTACTAAATTAGGTGATCTCAATAGGGGCAGCAGTTGAGTTCATTACAATCGGCTTTAATATCCCGGAATTAAGGAGTGAGGGATGAGTCAGCCAGAGTTTCTGCTCCTGAATGGTATCCAATGCCCCCTCTTGTGTGGGTGTGCGGGGAAATGGTGTATGCCTAGAAGTGAGAGAGGGCAAAATAATTCTTAGCTATAAATTAATCTATACATTCACCTTCTATGGATGGCATTCAAACAATGCTCCAAATAAAACAACATTCTGTCAGTTAAACTGAGCACCTTTGCAGTTTGTCTGTCGGCCTCCTCAGCCGCTGTTCATGTTGGAAACCCTCTTATGTTGGTTTGTGTAAAAGAATGTAACATCGATCATTATTATTCCTGATTTACTTTAGGTTGATTACCTTGTACAGCAGAATGTGATCGCACCTTTCTGTAACTTACTGGGAGTGAAAGATGCACAGGTGGTGCAAGTTGTACTTGACGGTCTTAATAATATTTTGAAAATGGCTGGTGAAGAAGCCAGCACAATAGCAGAAATGATAGAGGAATGTGGAGGTAAGCTTACCAAACATTAAACTTTTTTTTCATTTAGAATTTTCAAAAATGCACAGTGTGATTGAAAATGTGAAAAACCAGAAGTGGCTATGCTGTTTGTGACTTCTGTGATCATGGCTGGCATTTCCTTTCAGGTCACACTATAAAATGCCGGCTGTCAAAATGACCTTAGCCTGCTTTCAGGGTTGTCATTTTGTTTGAATTCTGGAATTTCAAGACAGGCTTTGATTTGCAAGCACTGCATTTTCAATCCTAATGTATTGAAGTGCACAATATATGGAATGTACCAATATTCCTAAACCGGGGCCATCAATATAAAATAGTCACAAATAGATCAAATAGGGAAGTTAGAAGAAATTTCTTCACACAGAGTAGTGGGAATGTGGAACATACAACAACAACAACAAGATTCCATTTATTGAGCGCCTTTCACGTCGGGAGGACGTCCCAAGGCGCTGTACAGTTGGGTCCGGACCCGAGCATTGGGGGGAAATGGTCAGGGTGAAGGGAGGGAAGGGAGGGAGCGAGGAGGGGGTAGAGAGTCGAGAGGGGAGCTGAAGGCACGGTCAAAGAGAAAGGTCTTGAGACCGGCCTTGAAGGAGGAAAGGGAGGAGGCGGCGAAGGCACTGGGGGATAGAGTTCCAGAGTCAACATACTACCACAAGGAGTTGTTGAGGCAAATAGCATAGATATATTTACGGGGAAGCTAGATAGGTACATGTGGAGTCCTGTAGCTCAGTGGTTAGAGCACTTGCCTTCCAAGCGAGACACCTGCGTTCAATTCCAGACAGGGCGAAACCTTGGGCAAGTTTCTTTATTCCACACGCCTGATAATAATCCCTCCAAAACAAAACAATAATAAATCGGTCATTTTCAATCGACGACTGTGGGACACTGCTGTGCGCAATTGGCTGCCCCATTTCGCCCACAAATATACAGTCAATTCACTTTACAGTCTATTCTGTGAAGCGCTTTGAGATGTTGAGAAGACGTGAAAAGCGCTATATCAAATTCAAGGATTATTATTACATGAGGGAGAAAGGGATAGAAGGTTATGTTTGAAGGCTTAGTTGAGGAAGGGCAGGAGGAGGCTTATGTGAAGCATAGACCAATTGGGCCAAATGGCCTGTTTCTGTGCCGTATATTCTAATGTATTCTAAACTGTTCCATTATTATGTCAAAAAGTCAGATTCATTGGAGCATGCACATTTTTAACAAATATTTTGGTAACTTCTTCCTTGTAGGTTTGGAAAAAATAGAAGCTCTTCAGCAACATGAAAACGAAGAAATCTATAAGCTAGCTTATGAAATCATAGATCAATACTTCTCTGGTGATGATGTAAGTAAATAGTGTTTACAGTAGTTCTTAATACATTTCTTAATTAAGAAATACCAAACTTGTGGTAACATTGTTCCAACTTGATTTAATTTTGAGCTGGGTTCCCTGAAGTCTGAATGATAAATGGTGTTTCCCATTTAGATTACTTAATTTAAAAAAATCTTAAGAAATGCTACAAACCTAATTCCTCAAGTATATTATTTTATTGTTTCTTACAAAAAATCATTTCAATTTATGTTGTTTTAAAACCATGTAAAATGCACTATAAATGTAAGTTCTTTGCTGCTTAAGATTCAGTAGTTTTTATGGTGCTGATTAATTCCATCACTTTCCAATAGATTGACGAAGATCCAAGTCTCCTTCCTGAAGCTACTCAAGCAGGAACTTTCAGTTTTGACCCCACAGCAAACCTTCAAACAAAGGAGTTCAATTTCTAAGCTAAAACTTTGCTGCAGCTTCCCTGTCCCTTTCAAACCCCAAACACAAAAACTTCACCAATCAGAAGTGTGATGAAGGCTCAGAGACATCCGCGTATCTACATTTGATGCTTTTGAACAGCCGAATAATTGATCACTCAGCAATTGCCAAATTTGCTACCACACGGATCGTTGGCACGTGTGCATGATTCTTGTGATCTCATGAATAACGTATCATATCAACAAAACAAGAATAATACCCAACATCACCTATGATTCTACCTTTCCCTCCCTGGTGTGACTTCTGTGACAATAGTAGCAGCTTCACTTATAATGTTGCATATTAGAGGCACAAAATTAATAGCTCTCTATATGGAACAGAATGATTAGGTATTTATTAACGGAAAGAGACTTGGCTTTGACATGTGAAATAGGCTTTTAGAAGACTATACACTGGGGCTTACGTGTAGGAGGATTTGGAAATACAGTTGAATCCGCAATTGCCATGGTTAGCCCATGGATGCAAGGAAAACATAATTTTAATTCTTTGGCTCTGGTGACTGCAAAAAGACTTTTGTTCTAAGGAGATAAAATGACCCTGCTTGAATTTGTGTTAGATTGTTGGGCTTGCACTGCCTCACAGACCAGGATTAGAAACTAAATTTCCTGATTGAAGCCAAGTTTAACCACGACCTCTGACAGTTTGCGCAAGTTCTGTGGAAATATCCCTGCTGATTACTATGACCACTACTTGGAACCTGTGTTTTAATTTTGTTTTGCTCTTTGAAGTACTTCAATGCTGTGCATGGTGTTTTACCTGAGCTGCAATTATTATATCAATGTGATTTGAGCCTCTGCTTTAAGCTGAAAGCAAGATTCGCCCACATATTCTCATTCAGTTTCTGAACCCAATAATGTTAATCTGTACAAAAAAACAAAGTAAACATTTTACCTAATCAGAATCTTGCTTCCAACTGTTAGTTGAATCAGTATTCCTTTCAGCTTAAGCCAATCCAGTAGTAAAATTAAGTTGTTGGACTTTTAGTGGGTTTAAACTGTGGAGCTTCCATGTTTGCGGTGATACAGTCAGACTCATCAACATCATAAACTGACCTTTTTTTTTACTGTGGATACTGCTGATGGCTGTCAACCAACCGCTATAAATTTGTTCATGGACTTGAGCGTTATTGACCAGGTTCTAAAGTCACATTTTTCAAATGAACTAGAAGTAAATTGATTTTAAAAGAATGTTCAAAAAGAAGTGTAAATCTTATGGGGGAAATGTAATGTAAGCATTGTATAAGGTTGTACAGAAGCTGCAGTTACTTTGATCAATCAAATGTACATCCAGTCCATAATGTTGATTAGACTTGCTGTATTTAAGATACAAGGGGAGATTTTTGTAGGTAATGGGTTAGGTGACAACCATATAGGGATGGGCTTTATAGTTGTTGTGACTGGATGTAAACTTCCCCTGATATTTGTAAAGGGACAAAGGATTGCATTTGAACTAATGTAGTTATCAAGTGTTGGCAGTATCTACTGTAATTGAATTCAGAAACAAAATGCAATCAAAGCTCTTTGACAAGCTGTTTCTCATTGATGAACAAAATTGTGCAGGTTTATGTCCATCAAAATACCTTGCCACCAAAACTGAGCCACTTTAAAGATTATGATATCTTGTATCTTGAAAAGATACAAGCTTATATATAAAATTGCAAGATTTTACTTGCCGACGAAACTGTTTTAATAATGCAAATAGTGTTTTGGCCTCGGTTATTTATATCCTTTTTATAAATTTTAAATTAAAATTTCTCTTTAAGGTGGCTCATTTATTTCAACTCTTCTGCATTCAGAAGGAGTTGAATTTCATTGTGCCTTTGTTTTTTTTCCTATATATTTTTGTTGTAAAATCTGCTGCATATGGTAACTACATAATATCCATTCGCACAATATAGAATATAAAACATTTTGTGTGTGATTTACTATGTAAAAAGAGAAGTGTTTGAAATCTTACTATGGAATATAGATCTCAAGCTTAATTTGCGGGTCAAAATGAAAATTTTTAGTTCAGTCATTTATTAGCATATTGATAAATTTCAGCAAACAAATTTAGAATCTAAAATTATCAACTATAATGTCTTTGAGATGAAGGCCTGATTCAGTTGGTAGCACTCTCGTCTGAGTCAAAGGTTGTGGGTTCAAACCCCACATTGGGACTTTGAACTAATTCGAGGCTGACACTCCCAACACAGTGCTGGAGGTGGGAGGGGGGTTGAATTGTTAGAGGTGCCATCCTTCATATGAAATGTCTTCTCTGCCTGGTCAGATCAATGTTTAAGATCACATCCATTATTTGAAACGAGAAGAGTTTCTCCCAGTGTCCTCTCCAACAGTCCCCAAAATAAAAGCCACTTTGTGGCTATTTGTGAGACAGTACGACTGCATTGAAAGTTCAGATGACCAACACCCCTTTTACCTCCGTCTGATTTCATATTCCACAGCACCTACCATCTATTCATTATGGCGTCATGCTAAATTAGTCAAATATTCTGGCCACCACTATCTATTTTGGCGACCTGTTTCAGTCGTTTATTATCTTTATGAAAACGATTTCCTGTTTGTCATAAACTTAACCGTCACAACTTTCAAGAATAATAAGATGCTGGCACAGAAATAGACCCATTTATGCTGGTGTTTTCCTCCTCATGAGACACCTCATCCAGTTCTACTCTTCTGTTTGCTCTGTGTTTAATACCCTTTAATTTCTTGTCTATTGTTTAGATTCCAAATGCAAGACTATTGAGGCTTATCCTCAATTGAGTTCCCCTATTACCTCATTTAGTACTTATCCATACATACAACAATAATTAATATTTATATAGCCCTTTTCATGTCTCGTTTTCACGTAGCTGACTGGCAGTCCAAGCTGAGGAGAGGGGGAAAATGGCCAAAATAGTACCCAAAGGGATTGTGTTAAATTTTTTTACACAACGAGCTGTTTGGATCTAGAATGCATTGCATGAAAGGGTGGCGGAAACCGATTCGATAACAACTTTTAACAACAACAACAAAATTACATTTGTATAGCGCCTTTCATGTCGGGAGGACGTCCCAAGGTACTGAACAGACAGAGTTACGGGCCCGAGCTGAGGGTCGGGGTGGGGGAGGGCAGGGGGGGAAGAGAAGGGTCTTGAGGTGGGTCTTGAAGGTTGCAAGGGAGGGGGCGAGACGGAGGGACTGCGGGATGGAGTTTGAGGGTGGGTGCTGAGTGGCAGAAGGCCTGGCCGCCGATAGTGGGGCAAGCAAGGCAGGAGACGTGAACAGGGTGGTAGGGGGTTAGGAGGTCGGAGAGGTGGGGAGCAAGACCGTGGAGGGCTTTGAAAGTGAGGGTCAGGATCTTGAACTGTATCCTCCGTGTGATGGGAAGCCAGTGGAGTTGGGCAAGGATGGGGGTGATAGGGTCGCGGAGCCTAGTGCGGGAGAGGACATGGGCTGCAGAGTTCCGGATGATCTGCAGCCTGTGGAGGGAGGAGTTGGGAAGGCCGACAAGCAGTGAGTTTGCATAGTCGAGCCTCAATGTTATGAATGTTATGATGTTATGAGGTTTTCGACAGCCTGTAGTGTGAGACGGTGTCGGAGCTGGGCGACGTTGCGGAGGTGGGGGAAGGCAGAGCGGGTCATAGCACAGATGTGGAGTAGAACTGATAGTTGAGGGTCAAATAAGAAGACCAGGTTCTGGACTGGCTTAGAAAGGTGGAGTGTGCAACCATGGATGGTGATGCTGTCAGCACCTGAGGTGAGGAGGCTCTGACGGGAGCCAATCAGGAGAGCCTCGGTTTTGTTGACGTTCAACTGAAAAAAGTTAGCTCTCACAGCAGTGGTCCTGGAGTCAAGGGTGGAGGCAAGAGAGATAGAGTTGGGTGTCATCTGCATACATATGGAAGTTGACCCCATGTCTGCGGATGATGTCACCAAGAGGGAGCATATAGATGTTGAAGAGGAGGGGACCATGGACAGCCCTAAGGAATGCCACACCAGATGGTCCAGGGGCTAGAGGAGAAGCCGTTTGAGGAGATGAAGTGTAGGCAGTGTGAGAGGTATGATCTGAACCAATCAAGGACAGTGCCGTGGAGGTTGAGGTGGGAGGAGAGGCGGCGGATGAAGATAGAGTGATTAACGGTGTCGAAAGCAGCAGAAAGGTCAAGGAGGATGAGGAGGCAGAGGGAGCCCTGGTCACAGATGGACAGAATGTCATTTGTCACTTTGACCAGGGCGGTTTTTGCGCTGTGGGTGGCACGGAAGCCCAATTGGAGAGGTTCGAGAAGGAAGTGGTGGGAGAGGAAGAAGCGAAGCTGAGAAGCAACAACTCATTCCAGGACCTTGGAGAGGAAGGGGAGGTTGGAGATGGGGCCATAGTTAGGAAATATAGAAGGATCCAGGGAAGGTTTTTTAAGGATAGGAGTGATGACAGTGGTTTTAAAAGGGGTGGGAATAGTACCAGAGGACAGGGAGAAGTTAATAATGTCAGTGAGTAGAGGAGCAAGGAGGTGGAGCTGGGAGATAAGGAGGCAAGTAGGGATGGGGTCGAGGTAGCAGGTGGTGGGTTTCATATGGGTTATGGTGGTGATGAGAGAGGAGGGGGAGACGGGTTCAAAGGTGTGGAGGGTGGGGTGGGTAGGGACTGGGGTGGGAGGAGGAGATGGGGATTCCCTCGACTTTGGATTTGAGGAAGTCCAGCATCGCCTCGCAGTTGGCATTTGAGGTGACGATGGGTGAAGCATGATAGGGTATGTGGAGGAGTCAGTTCGTGATGAAGAGGAGCCTGGGGTTGTCCTTGGCCTCCAAGATTGTCTTGGAGTAGAACGATGATTCAGTGGAGGCGAGGGCGGAGCGGTAGGATTGGACATGGTCCAGCCAAATCTGCCGGTGGACAGTTAGGTTTGATTTAAGCCAGGTGTGCTCAGCTTTAGCGAGTGGAGGTGGCTGTTCAGGAAGAGGGGGGAGTGAGGGAATCAAGAGTGGAGGAGAGGGAGCTGTGGAGAAGGGTGACTGAGCATAGGTCATTGTGGGAGGACGCCCATCGGGGAAGGAGTTCAGATGACTCCAAGGCAGCCGAGGGGGGGAGGGAAGAATTTTTTCCAGGGGCAGTAGGAGATGGAGGTGGGTTGGGAGAGAGATTGAGGAGTTAAGGGAGATGAAGTGATGGTCTGAGATCGCTTTGTCGATGATGGTGAGGTCCGAGACGGTGAGGCCCCGAGTGATCACCAGGTCGAGGGGGTGACCGCGGATGTGAGTGGCGGAGTGGATGTGGAGGGAGAGATTGAGGGAGGAGATAAGGGAGGAAAAGTCAGCAGAAGTAGAGCAGGAGGGGGTGAAGTTTGAAATCGCCGAGGATGAGGAGGCGTTCAGAGCAAAGGGAGAGGGAAAATGGGAGGGTGGAGATGTCAGGGATGAAGGTGGGGGAGGGCTTGGGGTGGGGGGCGGTAGATAAGAAGAATTTTTGAGGGAAAGGTTGGAGGAGTGACAGAGGGTAAGGTGCTCAAAAGAGGGGCAAGTTCCAGAGGAGTAAGGGGTTAGGCCGAGCAGGGACCGGGAGATGAGAGCCACCCCACCACCACGGCGGTTAGGTCGAGGGGTGTGATGGAAGGTGTAATCGGGCGGTGTGGCATAAGTCAGGGTGAAGGTTTCAGTGAGGGCGAGGATGTTGATGTGTTCATCGACGATGAGGTCTTGGATGGTGCGTGTTTTGTTGGAGAGGGAATAGACATTTTGTAGACCGATGCGAAGGGGACAGTTGGTGGCGGAAAGTGGGGGGGGGGGGGGGGGGGCGAGGGACTGATAGAGAGGGTAGGGATGTGGATCAGGGAGGAGAGGTTGGCCCTGTGGTCGGGGACCGGTGAGCATTGCGGCGAGAGTAGGGGACAGGGCAGTCAAAGTGACTGCAGTCAGACTCCCACGATGGGCCCGACGGAGGATTCGCAGGCAGGAGCAGAGGGAGACGTGGGACGCTCGAGCAGGGATAGGAGTCGGGGAGGGCGGTGGGAGAGGAGGACCGAGCGGGAGTAAGTGAGGGTAGAGGACAGGGGTGGGGGCATTGTGGGGAAGCAGTTCGGGTCGCTGGCGGCAGCCATAACACGCACGCCGAGACTAAAAGCAAGCGGTTGGGATGGGGTCAGCGAGACATGGCCGTGCCGGCTAATTCCTCGATGGCCCGTGGATCGGGTAGGTGGGCCTTGGTCCCCGGGTTGAATCACGGCGCCGATTGGGGCATCGGACTCCACACCAGTGCTGCCCTCGAGTCGTGTTCGGCCTCGCTCGTGTGTAGGCCAGGGGCTGCTCCAGGCGTCGAAAACGGCCACGCTCCATGCGTCGCTCATGTGGAACTCGTTTTAAGAGAGAAGTAGATAATTATTTGGGGAGGACAAGTTTGCAGGGCTATGGGGAGTGGGATTGAAATGGATAGCTCTTTACAAAGAGCAGGCACAGACGATGGGCAGGATGGGCTCCTTCTGTGCTGTATAACCCTATGTCACCACACTCTGGAACTCCATCCCAGTCCCTTCGCCTCGCTTCCTCCCTTGCCTCCTTCAAGGCCGGTCTCAAGACCCTCCTCTTCGATCGTGCCTTCGGTCGCCCTCCCACCTCTCTGCCTTCTCTACCCCACCCCTCCTCCATGCTCGGGTCCTGACCCCTGACTGTCCAGCGCCTTGGGATGTCCTCCCGACATGAAAGGCGCTCTATAAATGTAATTTTGTTGTTGTTGTATAATTCTATGATTCTATGAAGGTGGGTGTTTAAAGCTAAGTGAGGGAGGGGTGGGGGCAAGGCAAAGGGACTCTGGGATAGTTCCAATATCCCAGCCTCATCCTTCCTTCCTGCCAATTACTCTTGAGTAAAGAAAAACAACCTAGCCTTTGAGCTTAAGGTTTCAATTTGGGACCTGACCCCTTGGAGTACAATCAACTGAGCCAAGTACTTACTTACTGACAAGTAAATCTCAAAATAATATTTTTATCCATTTCAAGTAAACAAAGTCATTTTAAAGACAAACAGCTTTTTATTCTGAATGAATCAAACAAACCTGATACAAATTTGACAATGCAAACAAATGACTGCAAAATAACTCTTACAAGATTGATATCTTAAAATGAAAAAGGAACATTTGATCATACAGTACTATAGTTTTACTACTGAAAGCTTATACTGTACAATGACGTACAGGGCATTATGCACATTGGAAGTACTGTACAAAGCTCATTTGCACAAGCTATCACAGCGGGTTGATCACATTCATGCAGATGATTTTAAAATGTTTATGTAACAGTATAAGTTGGTAAAACCATATTCCAAGTTCATACATCTAATTTAGTTGGAACAATGATTTAAAATCTTTAATTTATCCATTTATATTTACTAATCATACATGTTATTGGAAAGATTGCCCTAAACAGTTACCATTATTTAAAATTAGGTGCCACTACAGCATTTTAAAATTAATTCTATATTGAACAGGTTATGTATAAAAAGTTGAAGAACACTGTATGGTTCAGAATTTGAGTGTTAAATGTAATTTGAAACTTCAGAACCCCATCATCTTATGCTTAATTTAAAACCGTACTGTATAGCTGAAATAAACTCAAATGTATTGAAATAGAATTTTAATTTTCAGACAGGTTAGCCAAAAAGGTAAGTAAATCCATTTCATGCAATTTTCCATGAAATCATTTGATGTAAACATCTCAGACCAGTTTACCAATTCCTCATTTTTCAGTCACACTTACATCCAGGACTTAATTAACTTGTTCCCCCTCTTAAATGTTCAGACTTTTAACTGATAACTTTTTCCTGACTTTTTTAAAAAAAGTCCTTCTATACTGTACTTCCCCACGCAGTAGCAATAGTATTTGTATAGGCGAGGAAGAAGCCAGTTACAGTCTCTACATCACCATAAAATAGGAAAATCACACAGCTTTAAGCAAGCACACCCAGCCACATTGAGGTCTGCTTTGCAGCGAGAGACTTGTTGTTTGTGAAGGACAGAATAATCTGCAACAATTTAAACGATGGGTGCAAAGTTAGGCCGTTTGCTTACCATTTTCTGGAAACATTAATATTGCCAACATTGGTGGTCTGTTTTATGGTGATGCCAAAGCATTAAACACTACACTTTGCCACAAGAAATAAATGTGCCCAATATACATTGCATAAAGAACAAATTCTCAGATAGGGGCTACTTTTTGCCCATAAGAATAAATACTTTGCTCACAAATAAAATATATTTCTTCATTGGGATCCAAATCTCAGATGCACCAAATGATTTGTAAATCGCAAATTTGAGGCAGCAAATGTAACCATTTGCTGAGTTCCTTCCAAAATCTGCAAATCAAAAACTGTTCCCTGTTTGAGCAGAGCTTCAGAGAGACATATTTGGGTATGTGCAGGATTCTACTTAAAAAATCATTTTTTGAATCTCTCAATTTAGACCCCATTGTTGCAAGAAAAATGTATAAAATTTACATAATGTTTAAAATTAGATTTTTGAAAAATATTGTAAATACTTGATTTTAAAGTTTTTTTTAAATCACCAAAATAGCTCAAAGTTTCACCCAGTGAGTTACATAAAAGCAGAGTGATGCTTATGTAGGTGTATGTTCTGTTAATCAACAATTCATTTGGTTTCATTGAATTTGGATGAGAGAATTGATGGCCTAAACACATATTTATACATATGAAAAAAATTAGAACACTGCCTAACAGAGCTTATTGTACTTGCAGCTTCCAATTGCTGCTTTTATTGAAGAGTAAATTCACTTTGAATACAGTTGAATTAATCTAGTGTCATTTGCATTCATTTAATGTACTTTAAGCTCTTTGCACAGTGTGCCTGGGAGATATAAAATAATAATAATAATCCTTGCATTTGATACAGCGCTTTTCATGTCTTCTAGACGTCTCAAAGCACTTCACAGAATATACTGTAAAGTGAATTGACCGTATATTTGTGGACAAAACGCGGCAGCCAATTGCACACAGCAGTGTCCCAAAAACAGTCGTGGATTGAAAATGACCAATTTATTATTGTTTTTTGTTTTGGTGGGATTATTATTAGACGTGTGGAGTAAGGAAACTTGCCCAAGGTTTTGCCCTGCTTACACAACATACACAGAAAAAAGGAAATTATACATTCGACCAGCAAACTGCCCACATTACATTGAGAATGATTACACTGATAGAGGAACATAGCAACAGGTACTATGGACACCACCAGCACAACACTGCAGAGATTTGAAGCAATGTCAACAGGATTTATGTCACATATTGCTCAGTATAAAAATATGAAACAGCTCTGTGGTACAGACATGTAAATAACTAAATTTCAAAACTGGAGTTGGACAGTGAAGCCGCCCAAGTATCCTACGCTAGCAAAAATTCTTAATTTGGAAAACTGACAAGATTTATATTGTGGGAAAGCCTGGAAAACAATACATTTCACTCCTGCCGACTTGACTTCCATTTGTCACTACAAACAAGGTGTCATTAATAGAAAACCACCTCAAAAAAAGAAAGTGAAGTAAGTCATACTGTATATTAATTTCACAGATCTTGCTGTCAACTTGGGAGAATCTTTCTATTTGGCTCCAAACCATTTAGGATAAAAAAAATTCAGTTTTACATACTTTTTAGAGAACTAAGCCTTTAGACCTTTGTTTTCAACAATTTTTCCATTGTATATTTTTCCTAAAATAGAACTATTTTGTGCTGAAGGAATATAATGAAAATAATAAAAAGTAGTGTCAGCAGAGACCTAGTTTCTCACAATTGAAAAAATCCAATAAAATTGGATTCACTGTGTGTTTATTTATACACCCCAAAGAAAAGTGAATTTTTAAATAAACTGCTTAATTAGTAAATCCAGGGTTGAAGAGGCTAGATACTATGTAGAAGACTCAATCATTCCCCTTCAAAATAGTATTAGTTTCCAGGTCAACTTACATTACCACATATTTACATTCAAGTGCAAGGTATAAAGTATAACTTTTTTTAAAGCCTCATTCAATTCTTTTCCACTTAAACAATTTTGCTGCATTGCTTTTCTCTTCGGTTATATACAGTGAGCTCTAGGAAACCCTAAATTAATATACAAGCAAACAGACTTTTTTACACGAAAAACACAGTTTACAACATTAAATATTCGGTTTGCAGAAGTAACTCCATCTGTAGATTCAGTATTTTGAACATTTGTGAGATAACCATTTCAGACAGAACACAAGATTAAAACCCACTAACTATTTTTATCGACAAATTATGGGCAACACCAATTCCTGAAACACTCAACAATGAAACTGCATGTTCAAGCTTGTTAGTATAATAGACGTTATGGACAATCCCAACGCTGTCATGTTGCTGTATGAGTAATGATTTTAAATAATTTCAATCAATTGCTAGGGATGGGGCTCAGTCGTTTGTTCAAATTTGTGAAGCAAATCATTTTAAATGGAATAATCAACAGTAGAAATACCTGGTAATACTTGAAATAGGAGAAATCAGAAAAAGGTCTAATTCTCATTTTCTTCCCTTGACTCACTGAACTCTGGAATTCAGATGGGATGGCAACAAGAGATGATGTCGCCAGGATTTCTCAAATGTGCTCTGCTGTTACTGAGGCACAGCCAAAGCTGGAACTCCTTGTGCTCGGTGTTGAACTCAGTAACTCAATGAGACAAATGAGTCGAATTCTCAGAAGGGAAAGTCATCTGAATACATTCATCAACCAGGGCATTAAATCTTAGGTTTCTTCATATAAAACATAAGATGATATTAGCTGGAGTTAGATTAGAAGATCAGCCACGATTGAATGGCGGGGCAGGCTCGGAGGTCCGAATTACCTACTCCTGCTCCTACATGTTATGTTATGATAATCAACGGGTATTTCATTTTGCATTTTGATGTTTGTTCAAACTGGTGTATATTTTAATCTCTGAATTAGTTAACATTTTGAGTGTTAGAATATGTAAACCTCCGATTTAAACTATACTAATGACAGTCGCAACAAGGTTTTGAGGAGACAAGAGACCAAGAAACATGAAAAAGAGAAAGGACATTGATAAGGAAAGTTGACAACTGTGTGCTGCGAGAGAGATAAAAAGAAACCATTCAAAAGAAAAAAATGCAAGTCCCTGTAAAGGAAAAGAGTACACTGCCAAAAACAAAAACATAATGGGGCTAAGAACTAAAACACAGAAATTATACAACATAGTATTCAGATATGAAATATTTTTCTTTTGACAGTAATTTTAAAGGAGTGATTTCTCAATTCCTCTTTGTGATGAACAGAAAACATATGATTACGTGGGGTAGGCCACCGATACAATAGTTGAGCCCTCATCCTTTTAGCTTCTAAGGAAAACTACATGCATAATGTCCATTACTTCATATTTGTAAGTCATTGCTTGTTTTCAAAATACTGCTCATTGCTTTACAACATAAAACAATTTAAAATGATAAATTTGTGACAAACCTGGGTTTCAGAATGCTGCATTTTCATTGAAATTTATTCTTATGATGAAGTTTAGAAGAGAAATTAAAATATCTAAACAGAATGAAGCTAGGTAACAGTGCAGAGATGCTTATGGTTTTGTAGTGCAAATCAGAAGATCTGTTGTTCAAACAAAATCTTTTCAAATCCGGGAGGGGGTGGACTATAGAATTCACTGAACTGACAGTCCAAAATAGCACTGTCATCAACTGCAAAATAAAAAGAAATACATTAATCAGTTTAGTTTGTAGGCAGCATTCTTACTGGAACTACAATAAAAAGATTGTTTCAAATTGAAGCATTGTTATTGTTTATCAATTTGTATATACTGAATTGTCAGATAAAAACAGCTCCAGCTGTTCAAAAACAACGGTCTACTAAAATCACAAACGTGTCCTCCAGTTAATATAGTGGAACCCATTCGAAATGTTTCCAAGTTTACAGCAATGAGACTTTTTTGCTTGTTTTTCTTCTAATCCTGGAATTCTCAAAACTGAAGCTCAACTCCAGAAGGAGCTTCCCACCCACCCACCCAACCACACACAGTTCAGTTGCCGACCATGAAGAATATATATTTACTTGAGCAAAGTACCAGAGTGCTGCAACTCTCTAATATCATAATTTACCATTTTTAAATTAAACAAATAATATCATTCTAATATCAATTTACATTAAATATTTTTGAAATGTTTTAAAAGTTATTGAATTTTTTTTAAAAAAAAGCCTTGGCGCCCTGATCTAGTAAACAAGGCACAGTATGATGTTGCTGTAACTTAATGTGAAACACAAGACTCTGAGTCAGCTTGACATCTATAAACTTATCCAAACACCCAAGATTGCAAAACTGTTGCGCCACCTACTGTTTAAAGCTTCATGCAGGTCTTATCAGCTTTAATTCCCACTCTATAATTCCAATGCAGTGGAGCCCTGGTAAGATCTCATTCCCTCTTTTTCTTTAAAATAATTTGTAGATCAAATTTCTCCGTAATTAGCAATAGATGTGTCTCAATATTGCCTAGCAGTAAAGCGTATAGGCTAGAGAGAAAGACAAACAGAACTCAGGCCAACCAGAGCTGGTTTTCCCCCATAATCATGCAGGTTTTAGAGGTGATCTCAGCAGTGTGAAGAGCAGAGGCTTTGGGCGTTGTAATAATTTGAGATGGAATGGATGAAGAATCATTTACTCTCTATAGAATATATTTTCAAGAATAAGTACAATATTGGTTAATGCGTAAGTTGATTGAGAGAACAATAATAATAATCCTTGCATTTGATATAGCGCCTTTTCACGTCTTCTTAGACTTCTCAAAGTGCTTCACAGAATAGACTGTATATTTGTGGGTGGAACATGGGAGCCAATTGCGCACAGCAGTGTTCCACAAACAGTCGTGGATTGAAATGACCAATTTTATTACTGTTTTTTTTGAAGGATTATTATCAGGCATATGGAGTAAGGAAACTTGCCCATGGTTTCGCCCTGCCGGGAATCAAACCCAGGTCACTGGCTTGCAAGGCGAGTACTCTAACCACTGAGCTATAGGACTCCATGGTGCCCTTGTGCCATACATGACTGATTACCAAATGGCAGTGAGCATCCAAACTCTTGCATGAAGATACCTAGATAAGGTGTCAGGCAGCAGTACTTAGAAAATCATATCTCACCATGCATCAGTATTGCTAGAAGACGTTTAAAAAAAGCCTCTGTTAAACAGGTGTTTTTTAAAGCCATGACAATACCAGTAAGCTCTTGCATACACTATTTATGGAGCTAAGAAATAATTCACTTACCATACACAACAGGATACACTGTACCCCTAATCCCAGATGCTGGACAATGCATATTTTTTCCATTCAAATAAATATTCAGCTCTACGTGGTCATAGGAAATGCCCTGTTATTTAAAGAAAAAATAAATCACGTGATTCTATACAGTAAAACTCACATAAATTGGGACCATAACATTTAATATGATTTACGCAAAGTCCGAGTTGCAGGCCAATTGTATAAATTATATAATATTCAATTTAATCAATAATCGACACTGATGGCACATTCAGATATAATCTTGCTAAATCACTTTGTAATTGGAGTATCCATTAAACAAAATCAGCAGGTCAAAAGCATTTTTCCTAAATTCTGGCCACAAAACTATACGAATGAAATCCAAATGGACAAATCTTACAACCAATATCCTTAGAGCACATTGTTGTTTTAATTGCTCCTCTCCCCTTTTAGTTTAACTTGAAAAGGCAGTCAAAATCATTTCAACTAAATGTTCAAATAAGAGAACAATGCGAAACTTCAATTTCTTCTTACATACCACAACATCTCCTTCCTGAGGAAGGCTGTTCGCAGGAAGCGTGTTTTTCTCTTCGTTGTTGTGATAAATGGTTCCATCATGCCTAAGTACTAAACTTTGTACATCTCGGCCAAGAGGAACCTGATTAAGGTTGACTTTTTGTGTAGCTACTCCAACTCCCCAGATGCCTGGAAAGGAATAAAGTTACAATTACACATATATAATTTCTATCAGTTTCCCAAAATATAAACTAACGTTACAATTGGTTTATTTTCTGAAAAGAATGGTGCCATATTTATAGGGAGTCTTGGTTGAATTAAAATCTTAACTTGTAACCCCTGGAATTATAATTGCAATCTCAACTGATATTTCACTTGTGAAGCAGACCACCAACATGATTGAGATGTGCCACTCTTATAACGTATTCTACACCACTTGTAATTTTTTACAGATCAGTCACGATTCAGAAAGAGAAGGGAGTTTCTCCTGGTGTCCTGACCAACAATGCCCCAAATAAAATTGGTCATTCACTTCATGGCTGTTTGTGGACACTGCTGTGCCCAATTGGCTTCCACCTCGCCCACAAATCACAAAGTTATTGCACTGTGCTTTGAGACGTTGTGACGTGAAAGGCGCTAAATTAAATGTAAGGATCATTATTATTAACAGAAAATAAAGTCTAATATTCCTTCTTCACTGACCTGTTGACTGAACTTTAAACTCAAAGTAGCTCTTGTTCTGATGCAAAGGTGCATTGGCTAAGCAGCCTCCTGTGCCACATATTCTTCTCCCATTTTTCACAATGACAACATCAGTTCCTGTTAAAACCAAAAGAATACATTAGAGGACTTTCCTTCAAACTCAACATGAAATCAGTTTTTAATAGTACAGCAAATTTCATTCCAATATTGACTGATGCACCTAATCCTACAGTAAGTCATCAGTCCAAATCTAATTGGCCTTTTTCTAATACATATCAAACAAATGTATTAGAAAAACATGAACATCAACTCTGCATTTTTGTCTAACTACAATAAATATTGTAAATTAAGTATAGGAAACTTAATTAAGCCAACATAGACTACATATTCAAAACAGATATCACCCTCTTTCACAAAAGGATACAAAACTAGCCCTTCATTTAAAACATTAAAAATGTTATTCTATCTTAACTCCATTAGATTCAGTCATTATATTGAATAACCTGCTCAGATATTTTCATAACTGAACAGCCAGCAATAAGAACAGGTTTATATTCAGCGGTACCAGTAGAGGAACAAACTGTTACTTCAATTTTCATTTACAAGGCAGAAATTAAATTAATTTAATATACATACAATCACATTTTTTGCCAGTTTTTATGCAATACTGAGGAAGCAGATACTGTGAATGTTTCTATTAAGATCCGCTGCCCTTTTAAGAAATGGAATTGTATGGATCTCTAGGGTAACATCATGACTACTAAATTGGTAATTGACTGTCTGCTGAATCTCTTGAATGGATTTTCCTATTACCTGAGCTATTGACTGCAATGATCTCTAATTCTCATAGGGAGAGCTGCTGCAAAATTTAAGTGAAGATACAGTACATTAAAATAAACAAAACTCCACCTAGCAGGGCCTCAAAGTGACTTGTCTGTACCAACTACTGACAATGCTCTGGGGAGAGGGTAGGCAAGAATGGTCTGTTTAGAGACAGGTTAGCACCAAGGTGACATGATTAGCAATAAAATATCAGAATTGAGTCCATACTCTGCAGGAGTCTCGTTAGTCTGGTTCTTCAGTCAGGCAAGTCTGCAGTGCTCCAAGCCACTGTTAATGATGGACTAACCAGTCTGGCTTGTTATCAAGATTCAAAGAACCAGTCCAACAACTGTGAGACGGAATTCTTCACTCTTGATTATTGTTAACCCTGCTACCCGAAGCTCAGTCTAGGTAGGGTGGTCTTTGCTGGACAAGCAGCGGGAAGCTTACCAGAGTCACTATGACAAGCTGTATGGTTTTAACTCATTAAATTCCAGCAATAAGCCCAATGCACATACTAAAATCCTCAAGCCTTAGTTTTCAACAACCTTTACCTAAACTCACTGTGATTAGGTAAGCAAGATAAAAATGCACAGTCCATACCAGACAATGTGAATTTTTCATAAATATATAGATCTGCAAGTAGTTTGCCTTAGATACGCTTTAAGAATGGAGTTGGCATGCATGTGTCAGACACCCAGCTGACCAAAAAAAAACCTGATCAGCAAGTCAATAAGAAAAATACATAATTTATCACCAGAAGAGGGGAGATTACAATTTTGTTAGATCATGGAATACCGTACCATAAATGGCCGTTGAAGCCGAGTCTATACAGTATTTAAAAGTCAATGGTGGAATTCTTGAGTAAACATATTTATAGAGAAAGAACAGAAGAATAAGATTAAAGTAGTCAGCACCAGTAGTAGAAATCCTACCAGCACAGACATAGTGGGCCAAATGGTGTGCAAACTTAATTGTCAAGGTTTGATTACTGAGTTTCTAATTCTCACTCCCCTCTCCCAAAATTCTTATGAAACTTCAAAGGCTCTCATTAAAGAGTTGCTGGAATTCATATTATTTGCAGTGTACCTGCTAATATGATAGGTTCACTCATATCTAACCTCCATTACTATACCTCACTCTTATTTCATCTGGTCAGGGAACTTCACTAGAAGGTGGAACAATCACAGATTCCTTCCAACACTACAATAACAATAACTTGTATCTTTATAGTACCCTCCATGCAGTGTAGCGTCTCGGAGTACGAGTCGATAACTACTGTACATAACAAAGAACAACATAAATGGCAATCAGTGACACCAGCCTTATTTTAAACTACACATAATGATATGGAACGGTTGGCCATTTAGCCTGTTCAGACTGTTCCACTGGTTTAACAGACAACAGGCAGATCATTTAATCCCATTTGCCATACTGACCAGTAAACTCTAGATTGGAATACTGTTCACTAATCTCAGTTAGGGGAAGCATGCTGGAATAAGGTAGAAGAAAGTCAGGGTCTTTGTAACCTTATCACAGTAAAAAGTCAAAATCTTCAGGAAAGGATTGGATAAAATAAAAAAAAGCCTCCTCAAAAGGGATAAGGCATGAGGGTATCCCATGAGTGGACTGGATATCCAGTCATGGAATTCACCAACAGGTGCAGTATTACATTTCCTGTTTAATCAATCCCAGGAATCCATAGCCATAAAACTTATATGATGTGAACACTGGATATTCCGCTATTTTTACATCTTATAATAATAATAATAATAATCCTTGCATTTGATAAAGCGCTTTTCGCGGCTTCTCGACGTCTCGAAGCCCTTCACAGAACAGAACAGACCGCAAAGTGAATCGGCCGTACACGTGTGGGCGAAGCGCGGGGGGGGGGGGGGGGGGGCAACCGCGCGCGGCAGCGTCGCCCCGCAGACAGGCGTGGATTGAAAATGACCAATTTATTACAGTTTGGTTTTGGAGGGATTATTATTATTATTATTATTATCATCATCTGGACATTCAAGTTCTGGAATTGAACTGCATTATTTTTTTTTCGGTTGGGGGGGGGGGGGGTTTCCCCGACACCCAGACACCCGGACACCAGACCGGCGGGGCCTCGGGGCTCCTCAAATCGCGGGACCCCCACCCCCGTCAAAAGCGGGAGCAGCGGAAGCGCTCGGGTCGCTGCTCCGTCGATCGCGGTTTAAACGGTCCAACCGACTCTTCCCCTCCGCCGAGGCCCCCCCCGGGGGGGGTTTCCGCCTATTCAGGCCTCGGGGCCCTTCGCTCACCCATGCGCTGCGTGTCGAGCTGGACTGCGGGCATTTCCTTCAGCTGAATGTGCCCGGAGCCGCCATCCGCGCAGCAGCCGAGGCACCACCAGATCGAGGACGCCATCTTCCTTCCCGGCAGCCTCTGCTCGCCTCTCCCCCCCCCTCCCCTCCCCCCCCCCGCGTGCGCCTGCGCGCAATCATCCAATCGCAGTTCGGGGGGGCAGCTCCTCGGTTTTCCAGGTCGGGCGGGTTCACGCCCAATCGGGCGGGTTTTTCTCGCGCTGTGTGCGTGAAACTCATCACCGCGATGATGATGCTGCCCAACTCACGACGATCCCGGCACTTTGATATACAGCGCCTTACATCGCGCCTCCGAGTCGCCTCCGAGCGCTTCGCGGAACACGCCCGCGACAGCGAATGGACCGCACGTTTTGCGGGCGAAACGGGGCGGCCGATCGATTGCACGCGGCAGCCTCCCCGCAAACAGCCGCGGGGACCGGGCGGCCAAATTTTTTCCTTTTGGAAGGAATCATCAGCCCCCGGAAAAGCGATCCGCCAGTTGACTAACAATCGGGTTCCTGCTTACCGCGAGGTCCTGCCTGGGAATCGAACCCGGGTCCTCTGGCTTGTGAGGCGAGCGCTCTAACCAATCCAATCGCCCACAAATATACAGTCAATTCACTTTACAGTGTGTTCTGTGAAGCGCTTTGGGACGTCCTCCCGACGTGAAAAGCGCTATATCAAATGCAAGGATTATTATTTATTAATCCGTGCCAGGACTCCACCAAAACAGCTTTGGGTGGGAGCCTCGTTTAAGAAACCTTAATCGAAACCCGTAAAACGTCCGTCCATCCGTCCCCCCCACCCACCCCCTCCCACCACCGAGGACCTTTTCTTATTGTTTCAAAATGACTGCATTTAAATTGGCCACTCCCAAGATTACTGGAGGCGACGCGGAATACTGGGTTCATTTCAGGCTGGTGTTGGGTTGACTTTTGGACTACAAGTGTATATTCATTTCTGGCAAAACTTCCCTGCTGGCGACCTAGCGAAAGCCCATTGTCAATCACCTCAATATCTGTACTTCTGGGTTGAAAGCCTTCCTCATTGACCACATATACAGTCACCTGTCAATGCTCCTCTGGAACAAGTTCAGATTACTGGGTTGCCAACATACTGCGTTTTCCTCTGCAGGAAATTTCTTGCTGACTCTGCCCTTAACCTTTCATCAGCAAACTCTAAAGCTGTATACTGTATTCACAGTCCATCCACCAAAATAAAATGCAAGTAAGGTATTGTATTTGTCTGAAACTGCTCTCTCAGGCTGCAACCCTACACACACGCCTTGGGCCAAAGCCCTGACAGCTGCTGACACCCGTGAACGCACTTTAAATTCCACCACTCTCCTACACGTCCTTGAAATTTTGCATCTTCTCTCATATGCACACACTCGCACACAAAACACAAAATTATAATGATAATAGTAATTTGGTTACTCAATCCACGACTGTTTGTGCGACACTGCTAGGCACAATTGGCTGCTGAGTTTCGCTCACAAAATACACAGTCAATTTACTTCACAGTATATTCTGTGAAATCTTTGAGACGTCTCGAAGACGTGATAAGGCGCTATATCAAATGCAAGGATTATTATTATCATATACTGGCAATTCACTTTACTTTATATTCTGTGAAGCGCTTTGAGACATGTCAAAGGCTGTATCAAATGCAAGGATTATTATTATTATGGTTTGTTACAAAGACAAATATTGTAATTTCACCACAACAATCTATCAACTTAAAACACATTTTAAAACGTATATGGATGGTAGAGTACACTGTACCTCAGCTTGTTCCCTGAAGGTTTGTCAGATTGGTCACTGTAACCCAGAAGGCAGACCACAAAGAAACGGGCTTAGTGGGTTTGGAATTAGACTTCTAACTTTATAGAAGCAAAATCATTAAAAAAAAAGTTTAAATATATTTTTTAAAAGCGGAACATGAAAATTACACTTAATTTCTTTAAAAACAGAAATATCTCTCCCTTAACATAAACTAATAACATAAAGAAAATAGAACCTAAGTGCAAGAGAAAATATGCATTTGAAGACGGAACTAATTGTTTTCGAATTAGCACTCATATGGTGATGCAACGTTATACAATACCACGACCACTAATAATCCTTGCATTTGATATGGTGCCTTGTCACATCGTTGAGACATCTCAAAACGCTTCACAGAATATACTGCAGAGCGGATTGAGTAAGTTCGACCGCACATTCGGTCACCCTCCTTTTCCCCGGACCCTCCCTTGCACTCCACCCCAACCCAACCCCCAGCTCGGGTCCGAACCCTCGACTGTCCGGTGCCTCCGTCCTCCTGACCCGAAAGGCGCCGTACGTACGAAGGTGATGTGTTGTTGTTGTCCATTTGTTTTTGTGTTTCGCAAAGTTGCAAACTGTATTTCGTGTGGGTTAACCGCCCAGGACTTAACGTCTCCTGTCCATTTGATGTCACCCGCGTCCCTTGGGAGGTAGGTAGCCCTATTGCCTGGAGACCACACTATGTATTGTAACTGCTGCTGTTCTGTTCAGTGGCGCTAGTGAGGGAATTTGACAGGATGACTCCCCCCCCACCCATCCCACCCCACCCCCCCCTCGACATGGAGCTGTTGCACACACACACACACACAGACATTGTGCTGGAATTGCATTGGGAAGGTTAAGAGAGACAGCGCCATGATGAGAGGGGATGTGTTGTGCTGCTGCAGGTGGGTGTGGAAGCTTTGCCTTTTTTTGGGTGGGGGGGGGGGGGGGGGTTGTGGTGGGTGTGTGGGGTTGGGGGGTAAAGACTGTAAGTGCAGACAGCGAGGACTTTGAGTTGATGGAGAAACAGCTGAAGGAAATCACTGCTCTGGACAGACAAGTCGGTCACCAGTCAGTCAATGACATGCATCGCCGCAAACAAAACACTTTGGATCTGGCAATCGGGTACGATGCAAACACACACCTATATATAATATATATATAGTATGCAATATAATACACATACACACGTATATTTTTTTTTGCAAAAAAGGACGCTCGAAAAGATGGCATATGTGTGTGTGTGTGTGCTTTTATTATTATTATTATTATTTACTGTATTTTTTTTGCAGATCCCCGCGGTGGGCGGTGGTTGTTAGTGTTATTATTATTATTATTATTAATAAGAGATGAATGCTGTGCCGGAATGCCTGCAATGCAATGCTTTTGCTGAGAGAGTGCAGGGCAGGGCAGGGAGGGTGCGGTGAGAGAGAGAGAGAGAGAGAGAGGGGGGGGGGGGGGTGGGAGAGGAGGGGGAGAGGAGTGGGTGCAAATGTCACAGCTGTATTTGGTGCTGGTGCAATTCGCTTACCCATTCGCTGTTATTATTAATTGACTGTTTATTTATGGTTACGTTATTACTATTGTTGCAACTCGCTCTCGTGATCGATGTGATGCGATGCGATGCAATTTTTTCGCTTTGCAATTCGTGCCATTTCCCCCCCACCCCCCCCCCCCCCAGGGAGAGACAGACGTTGTGCCTCCCAAAGGCTGGTGTTGAAACAAAAAAAACTCTGCGCTTTTCTCTCTTTTTTAAAAAAAATCATCTTTTTATTGCTCCTGTTGTACCTGTTTTTTACTCAGCTGATCCCCCCCCACCCCCCCCCCCCCCCACACACACACAGGATCAGCTCTCTCTTTCTCTCAGGATCAGTTCTCTCTCTCTCTCTTTCTATCTCTCTCTCTCTCTCTCTCTGTCTCTCTCAGGATCAGCTGTCTGTCTCTATCTCTGTCTCTCTCTCTCTCTGTCTCTCTCTCAGGATCAGCTGTCTGTCTCTATCTCTGTCACTCTCTCTATCTCTCTCTCAGGATCAGCTGTCTGTCTCTATCTCTGTCTCTATCTCTGTCTCTCTCTCTATCTCTCTCTCAGGATCAGCTGTCTGTCTCTATCTCTGTCTCTCTCTCAGGATCAGCTGTCTGTCTCTATCTCTATCTCTCTCTCTGTCTCACTCTCAGGATCAGCTGTCTGTCTCTATCTCTGTCTCTATCTCTGTCTCTCTCTCAGGATCAGCTGTCTGTCTCTATCTCTATCTCTCTCTCTGTCTCACTCTCAGGATCAGCTGTCTGTCTCTCTCTGTGTGTCTCTCTCTCAGGATCAGCTGGTTTGACAGCTACAGTGGGTGTGTGCCATCAGACCAGTGTGTGTCCCAGTCACTCCCACACACCTAGCTTTTCGATCAGGTCGGGCTGTGTTTGGGGGGACGCTTGCTGCCCCAGCCTTAACGTGTGAGATTGTCGGTCAGTGTGACACATCTATTTGGACAAGTCAACCGTAGGGTAACCTGAGCGCCCAGGCAATGACACCCTCACCCAACCATCATCCCGCATGCACTTCCAGGAGTCACGGTGATTAGGGTCAGCAAACTTCAGACGAATTCAACTCCACTCCACTTCAGCGGAGGTCAAGTTGACTGGCCAGAGACGAAGAATGGAACTCGGGCCCTTCCTATCTGTACGCCTCAATCTCACACTGTGTGGGGCATTTACAACTCCTATTTTGTTTAGTTTTATAAAACATTTTGGGGTGTCTTTTGTGCTCATGGAGAAAATGGATATAGAATCGTAGAATCTTACAGCACAGAAGGAGGCCATTTGGCCCATCGTGCCTGTGCCGGTTTTATTATATATATATAGTACTGTGAAACTGAGAAATTTGTTGGTGTCAAATAATATAAGACAAAGATCGGACCAACTAGGTATACAGCAGCAAGATATCCTGTGGTTCATATGTGAACAAGTCTAATCTGTGAAGTGGATTTGCATTGAAATAGAAATGAGACTACACTGAGAGGTGGCTTCAGCAAACCTGGTACTGGACTTGGATCTTTTGAACACCAAAATGGATGGTATATTGTAAGAAAGCTGGCAAAGATCCCCCTCCCACTCTGAAGATAGATTTTGGAAATTCTGAGGTATGGGATGACAGCTGCTGGAAAATGTTGCTGAACTGTGGCTTGTGAACACGTGCACTTAAATCTGGATTCCAGCTACCCTGGTTGCTGTGCAGAATCAAACTACAGTACTATTGAAAATTAACATCTTCAAATAGCAAAGACAGTCTTTGATAGGTTACTATGAGTTTTCTAGATCTAGGAGGAAGGTGCCGAAGTCACAAACACTTCTACGTGCAGCTGTGTTTTTTTAGGACTTTCCTGTATCACCTGTACATCTAGTGAGAACTCAGTTGTTTGATCAGTCGCTGGTGACAGTCTTTGTTGGGAGAGGTTTACAAGGGCAGAGGCAATAATGATAAAGGTCTTTGAGATCCTCAACTGGAATGATGGAGTAAATAAAATAAAACTATTTTCTTCAGTTGGAAACCAGTCACAGGTTTGTTAGCAAAAGTACCAGGGGAGAGGTTAAAAGGGAGTTCTTCATTCAGAGATATTGAAAATTGCCACCTGCATTTTGTTGTGGTGAATTTTGTGATCATCAAAGTGAGGGGTGTCAGTGCTGGGAATGGAATTTTATCATGAAGTACTGTATGAACCTCGATTAGTTGCAACTTTTTTTCTATGTAGCCAACATGGACTCATATCAATGTCTGTGTTTTACATGGAAACCATTAATGGACAAATTCCAAGGTTATCTTATTATGGCCTCATCATATTGTTTGTGACTGAATTATGCGTTAGTGTTTCTGCTTTTACTTATGTAACAGATGTCCAGGGATTCCAAAACAAATTTATTAATTTAAAATCTGTTGACAATTCAACAGTTGTTAATGAATAATTAGATTTATGTTTTCTTCATATTCCAGACTTTGTTAAGTTGATTCAAACAGACTAACAATATAAGTACATTTTGCATGTTTTTAATAATAATATAATTCTAGCATTTTGATATAGCGCTTTTCACATCTTCTAGACGTCTCAAAGTGCTTCACAGAATAAACTGTAAAGTGTGTATTTGTGGGCGAAACACGGCAGCCAATTGCGCACATCAGTGTCCCACAAGGAGTCATGGATTGAGTGACTAAATTATTATTGTTTTTTAAAGCTGTATGTTGGTAATATAAAGGTCAGAATTTAAATATTCTGAGTTTTTTAAAATGCCACACAAATGCACTTCCCTTTATAACTTTTAAAACATCAAGAACATTACTTTCTGTTTAGATTAATCTGAAAATATCAACATGTGAATGGAGTGTGATGAAATTATAATAAATATATTGAAATTAGCATAATATTTCAAGGGGGGATTACACAATAGAGCTACAGTACATATCTAATTTGGCATGTATATTTATGGTTGGTGTGCAGAAATACTCAATAAAATAGATGGCCTATTTTCTGTGTGAAATGAAAGCCTCACTGCTGGTGTAGGCCTTTAAATGGAACCGGTTTATACCAGTTATTTAGTTAGTGCCTGGGGGATGCTGTACTGAGCAATCTTTCTATGTGGCATTTAAAGTTATGGCTGTTCACATCTCATCTCCGGGTCCATCCATTCATTTTGCGTGTGTTTACTGTACATCTTTGTTATCAAAGTTGTTATTGACTATGTGCAATTCAAAACGTTATTGCTATTATAATTTTGGTTTTGAATGTTTGTAGCAATATTTGCTTGGTATAAGAGAGATCTCCTTAATTGGCAAGAAGTTTCATTCCTAGGACGTGATTAAACTCCCCTGTCTTATGATATCATCTGTAACCTTGACCATATCTGGACAAGCATGATACCCATCTGAAACACATTATTTATGAATTTGGTGATAACTTGCTTTCAAGAACAGTACCTTCCTTCACTTACACAAAGAATGTAAATTGATTACAATTAATTTTATAATGTAGCACAGGATAGATCATGGCCTTCAGATTTCTCTTGTTTTAATAACTTAATTTCATGTCTCAGGACATTTTTGCAATGAATGTTACTCATCATATTACATTGCGACAACAAGCTGATCTGAAAGCTTCTGCAATGGAGACAGATCAACAACAACTTGCATTATATAGCACCCTTCACATGGGGTAGCGTCCCAAAGAGCTTGATGTAGATCAATCATTTACATTGATGTTTGTCAGGTTCTCTCCAAAATGAAAACAGATCCATCATCTACCTTGATGTTCATCACGTTCTTTACAAAATGAAGATGGTAATGAAATGATGCAAAAGTTTTGTCTCGTTCTTAGAAACCTGGTACGGGATACGGTGTTCTTTGTGAATATCTGTAATGCAATGATATTTTGCACACTGGATTACATGTTATGGTGGAGTAAGAGGGCGAGGCATAAGGTTTTTTGGAAATTCCTAACTGTGAGTGCCCCTGACATCATAAAAGAGACATAATGTGCACTCACCCTTTCTACGTTGCTTGGCCTCAAGAGGTTGTTGAGTTTAATGACCTGCTGAGGAGGCCCTCCAAACTCACACAATTTGAATCTCAGAGCTACTGCTCTCCTTGTCTCCGTTCCATAAAGTTCAACCTGCATGGAATTCAGCCCCACACCACACACAGCACAAAAAAAATGTCTGTACTACCACTCACACTGATAATTCAGCAGCACTGCTATTTCAACTCCAGGGTGTATGAAATCTTTTTTCAATTACAGAGACGGACAGTTGATGCAGTTTAGTTTTAAAAGTATTTATTCACAATTTCCAGCTGAATTTTGTTATGGTGAATTTCGTGCTCACCAATGTAAGGGATGTTAGTATTGGAATGGTATATTTTCCAATGATTGGCTTGAAATTTCACAGCCTATGAAAAAGATCTAGCAGCAGAAAATAATCATCACAGGAAACTATGTTTGTTGTTTCTACAGCTGTTTTTTTGATCTTGTTTTGTAGATATGCTGAAAGCGACCATTACTGTAATTAAGTATTTAGCATGGGTAAATTGCCCCTCCAGTAGAAGTGCAGTTTGCTTTCCACAAAGCATTCCTGTGAAAGCCAATCATATGTAAAAGAAAGTTTCATCCATGTTATAGAATGTCTTTAAGCAGTCTGGTTGAAATTCCAGCCAATGTTATGCATAGTCCCTTTGATGGTGTCAGTTATAAAAGGGATTACCCCATTATGGAGTCCCATAGCATAGTGGTTAGAATGCTCGCCTTGCAAGCGAGCAGACCTAGGTTAGTTTCCCAATCAGGCAAAATCTTAAAGCAAGTTTCTTCACTCCACATGCCTCTGTTTACCTAGTAGTAAGTAGGAACCTGGTTGTTAGTCGTTTGGTGGATCACTTTCCATTGGAAATAATCCCTACAAAAAAACTATGGGTTCACTCAACCCGTGACTGTTTGTGGGACACCGCTGTGTGCAATTGGCTGCCGCATTTTGCCCACAAATACACAGTCAATTCACTTTGCAATATATTCAGTGAAGGGGTGGACAGATAGAGTTCAAGAGGATAGTGGCATAGTAGCTGAAGTCTCAGCCACCAATGGTGGGGCGGAGTGGGTGGAGGACCTGCAGCAGCCAAGTAGAGGGCGTGAGCAGAGGAGTGGGGTAGGGGAAGATCGCAGAGGTAGGGAGGTGCGAGGATGTGAAAGGATTTTTAGGTAACAGTGAGGACCTTGAATTTAATTAATTGGGAGACAGAGAGACAGTGGAGCCTGGCGTGGGCAAAGAAGAAAGTTTCAAGACGGACCTTGAAGGAGGCTCCCCCTTGGTGACATCATCCGCAGACATGGGGTTAACTTCCACATGTATGCGGATGACACCCAACTCTACCTTTCCTCCTCTACCTTTCAACTCCACGACCACCGATGTCCTGACAGCCTGCCTGTCTGACATTGAGTCCTGGACGAGCGACAACTTTCTCAACGTGCGCAAAACTGAGGCCCTCCTGATTGGCTCGTGACAGCGCCTCCGCACCTCAGGCGCTGACAGCATCAGCATCCAAGGCTGCACTCTCCACCTCTCAAAGCCAGTCAGGAACCTCGGGGTTCTGTTCGACCCTGAGCTGTCCTTTCTTCCTCATATCTGCGCCACAACTGGCACCGCCTTCCATCACCTCCGAAACATCGCCAGACTACGGCACTACCTCACCCCTCACGCTGCTGAAACTCTGGTCCACGCCTTTATCACCTCATATGGGAACTCTCTCCTCGCCGGCCTTCCCGGCACCTCCCTCCACAAGCTGCAGGTCATTCAGAACTCTGCAGCTCGTGTACTGTCCCGCACCAGGCTTCGGGACCACATCACTCCCACCCTCGCTCGCCTCCACTGGCTCTCCATCCCCCAGAGGATCAAATTCAAGATCCTCATCCTCACCTACAAGGCCATTCACGGCCTTGCTCCCTCCTGCCTCTCCGACCTACTATTTCCCTACTTACCTGCCCGTACCCTCCGTTCCTCTGGCTCCGGTCTGCTCCACATCCCCCGCCCCAACTGCCCTACCATCGGTGGCCGGGCCTTCAGCCTCTCAGCCCCTAGGCTCTGGAACTCCATCCCCCAATTCCTTCGCCTTGGTTTCTCCCTTTCCTCCTTCAAGGCCGGTCTCAAGACCTTTCTCTTTGACCGTGCCTTCAGCTCCCCCCTCGACTCTCTATCCCCTCCTCGCTCTCTCCCTTTCCTCCCCTCACCCTGACCATTTCGCCCCTGCTCGGGTCCTGACCCAATTGTCCAGCGCCTTGTGACGTTCTCCCGATGTGAAAGGTGCTCTATAAATGAAATCTTGTTGTTGTTGTTGTTGAGGCAAGGGAAGGAGTGAGTCAAATGACGTGAAGTAGGTCCGTTGCCCGCTGAGCAGAAGGAGTGGCCGGTTGGGTAGGGTTTGAGGAGGTCGCAGAGGTAAGATGGGCAAGACCATGGAGGGATTTAACGGTTAGGATGAGGATCTTGAACTTGATCTGCTGGAGGCTGGGGAGCCAGTGGGAAGGGCGAGGATGGGGACAATAGGCTCGTGGAACCTAGTGCGGGAAGAGCCATCTTTCAGCGGCATTTGGTGTGACAGGGAGTGTGGTGGAGGTGAAGAAAAGTAGTGTTGGTCACAGTCTACATATTTGTGCGCCAAACACATTAAATGCAATCAGGCAAGAATATATTGCATTTAGCCTGTACAGGAACCCTTTACATCCTAATAATGCTGTGGGAACTTGCCTATGCGAAAACACAGTTTGTGTAATGAACCAATCATGTGTAGCTTTTAATACTGTCTATCATATCTATCTAATTAACTATGCAAAATTTAAATCAAATCTGTTGAGGCCTTTGTAACTCGATCTTTACAGCTCTGCTTAATATAAACCTCTGTGCATTTATGACAAAGTTGGTAATTCAAGGAGAATTATAGAAATAATTGTTTTTAATGTACGCTTCACAACATTTTGCTTTAAGCTTAACTGCATGTTTTTTCCCCACCCACTTTTTTTTTGTTAAGTCATTCAGTTTCACTTCATGTTTGAATGAAGTTAGAGATTGAGAATCTCCGATGTTCTCGACAACACGCAGGGGAGCCACAATATTTGATGCAATTTCCCTGGAGGTCTCGGCAGTGGAATTCCCCAGCCAATTGATTTTTCTTCTAATCAATCTTCTTGTAGCCATACGTACTGGCAGCGTTGCTAGGAAGAGAGTGCTTTTTCTTTATTTTCAATAACTGTTTCGTCATTCTTCTCACCTACAGCAGCAATGATTGGTCAAAGCCACCTGCCGTACGCTGAGCTTTAGCTCAGTGGTAAAGGCTAAAAGGTATTGAAACAGGTTTGTGTCACAGGATTACAGGGCGGAGGCTGCCAGGGCTGTATGCGGAGGTGAGTACCAGTACAGATGTGCCCAGGGCTGCGAGCCTCAGAGTATTAGGGAAGAGGCAGGGGAAGAAGCTATCTTGTGCAAGGTCAGAGCACTACTCCCTCCATGGTGGATTTCACATGGAAATGTTTGTGTGCAGATGTGTACAAAGTATCCATTTTAAACACGTGGTAAGTCCATGTGTAGATGTCATACATGGAAATCTCATTCTGGTTTGAATACTCTTAAGCATGATGATAAGCTTCTGCGTGTGTCAGATGCCCAGCTGATGTGCTGTGGTGAGTTTTACCTGATTATATGTTTCAGGTTGATTTTAGGTAATAACTGTACAGGAGCCATTCATTAATTCTATAGAGGCTATACCCAAACCTGCCACAATAGAGATTTTTGTTCATGCGGCTTTTTGCATTTTTAATGTAAAGAAAGTGGGATTTCAGGTCCTTGGTGTCATCATGAAGGTCACCCTGGTGACTGCATAAGTCAGAATGTGTTTCTATCTTTACGGGGGAATGGGGGTGTGGGGTGTATTCCTGTATTTTTTTAGTTACCCCATAAATGCTAAATTATGGACAGCATTGGGCTGTGCTCTTGTATCCACAGGGAGCCAAATGCCAAACTCATTTCATGTAAGTCCCTTATCAGCTCTGAAAGAGCAACCGGGTTTGAAGGTTAAGGCTAGATTCAAATCCTTGAGTTGAAATAAAAACAATATTCTAATCCACTGAGCCATCTATTGTGGAGTCCTGTAGCTCAGTGGTTAGAGCACTCGCTTTGCAAGTGAGAGACCCGAGTTCAATTCCAGGCAGAGGGCGAAACCTTGGGCGAGTTTCCTTACTCCACACAGAGCCTAATAATAATCCCTCCAAAACCAAAAACAATAATAAATTGGTCATTTTCAATCTACGACTGTTTGTGGGACATTGCTGTGCGCAATTGGCTGCCGCGTTCGCCCACAAATATACAGTCAATTCACTTTACAGTGTGTTCTGTGAAGCGCTTTGAGACGTCCTCCCGACGTGAAAAGCGCTATATCAAATGCAAGGATTATTATTATTATATTTCCCCGTGGAATTATATTTTGACGCATAAACAACATTGTGTCATGACATATCACTCGGTATCTAAGCCGTTTCTAGTTAAGCACATGACATCTCTGTGGCATGTTGTTTGCTCCTTTCACAAACCCTACTTTTGTGGAATGTTGAGAGTTGCTGTGGGAACACTTTGTATTCTCCTTTCATGTATTACATCTTTGATATATTGTAATGATTGTTAATTCTATTGATAAATATAATCTGTTTTGCCTACTTATGTTGTGTACGAAATTTCCTGTCTCAGAGATGTACTTACAAAAATATTTAGATACCAGCAACAACTTGGTCACTGGTTAGAATAATAATAATAATAATAATTGGATTGTTATCTTGATGAAGTTGGTGACGTGTTCCTTGGGTATGAGAAATAACACGATAAAGGAAACCCAATCTCCCTGTCAGTGAGAAAAGGACTGGTATTCAATTCTGTATTTTTATTTACAGTTTAACTGGCCAGTGAGAAGGAAGCACTGTACTCCAACCTCAAAGGAGAAAGGTGTTTAACTACCAATGAGGTGACTAAAATAGTCAGGCTTGGTACTTTCTAAAGTGAAGGTAGAATTTACTATATTTTTGTTTTCTCTTCCACTCAAACTATCCATGTCTGTGTCTGCAAAAGATATTCTGCCTCCTGAAAAAGATAAATTCTCAATCCACATTATGTTGCTTCTATGCTAAAGGAAGAAGGCGTAGCCCTGATCTTTGTTAATCATGCATGACAAGCTTGTGGAAACAAGTTGGTCAAGATCCGTTTCAGAAAGCTGAGTTCCTTTTGAGCTGAAGTACAGTGCTCATTTCCTACAGACAAACTCAGCTGTAACTGAATCGTACATTATTTAACACTAGTCCCTTACAATGAGAGATGGGGTTTCACTTGTGTCATTTCTCATACTTAGGGAATACCTATGTAGGGTTATGGACATCCAATTATTTGTGTTCTTAACCTTCTTTTAACATATATTTGTGTCTATGTATTGTTGAGAGCTTCAGTAAGCCTGTGTGCTATTGAAGGACCTCCTGACTGGCTCCTGTCAGCGCCTGCACACCTCAGGCGCTGACAGCATCACCATCCAAGGTTGCACTCTCCACCTTACTAAGCCAGTCCGGAACCTTGGCGTCTTGTTTGACCCTCAACTATCCTTTCTACACCACATCCATACCATGACCCGTTCTGCCTTCCCCCACCTCTGCAACATTGCCCGGCTCCACCAATGACTCACACCGCAGGCAGCCGAAACCCTCATTAATAAGCATTAATAACAACCAGGCTTGACTATGCAAACTTCCTGCTTGTTGGCATCCCCACCTCTTCCCTCCATAGGCTACAGATCATCCAGAACTCTGCAGTCTGTGGCCTCTCACGCACTAGGCTCCGTGACCTTATCAACCCCCCATCCTTGCCCAACTCCACTGGCTTCCCATCACACAGAGGATATAATTCAAGATCTTGGTCCTCACCTTCAAAGCCCTCCATGGCCTTGCTCCCCCCTACCTCTGTGACCTCCTAACCCCCTACCAACATGGCCGCTACCTCCGCGCAGCGGGCTTCAGCCTGCTTCGTGCCCCCCACCCCACCATTGGCAGGTGGGCCTTCAGCCACTCTGCCTCCACCCTCTGGAACTCCATCCCGCAATCCCTCTGCCTCGCCCCCACCTCTTGCCTCCTTCAAGAGCCATCTCAAGACCCTCTTCTTCGACTGTGCCTTCGATCACCCTCCTTCCCTTCCTGCCCTCCACGCTCCCCAATCCCAACCCCCAGCTTGGGTCCGAAACACTGATGTCCAGCGCCTTGGGATGTCCTCCCGACGTGAAAGGCTCTATACAAATGTAATTTTGTTGTTGAAGGCTTGAACCACATCCAATTACACAACATACGCTATATAGCTTTAAGAGCGATTTAAAGTCTATAGCCAGTATTTTAATTTTAACTGTAAATACCACTTTGGCAACATCAAGTTTGGATTTGGCAACAATTTGGTGGGGAAAAAGAGGATCGGAAGGATCCAGAGGTCAGAGCTACTGCGATACATTGCAATTTTGGCAGGGAAAAAGTATCAATAGATACTTTCTAAAAGAGGATGGGCTTAATGCCCTTAAAAGGAGCGAGCCCAAATGACTCGTGGTCGCTATTCATCTTGTTTTCTCATCAAAGAGGTATGTGTCTGACTTGAGGAGGAGTCCTTCAGGTCATGATTGTTTTATCCTATGTTTATTAACGATGGATAAGGCTGCTAGTTGTATAGTTATAGTGTGTTAGGGTTTCTATTTCCAAGGTTGGGAACGTTTTCATATTTAATGGGCAGTTTAAGTAAGGCATAGGGTTTGTGAATAACCATTAAAGTGTCATTGAGCTTTCTTAATCATGCTTCTCGAGTCTCTGTTTAAATCAGGAAGGAGGAGATTTACATACACAGGTTGAACCTACGTCACAGTCCATTAGTGCAAACGACTCTGACGAAAGCCTCCCTTTGCTATAATTATAAAGCACTGGTGGAACCTGTCGTCGTATTGACTCTCATTAGTGAAGTTACACATTAGAATAGGGAACTTGCACACACAGAGAAGGATTAAACAGAGATCACCTGGTTCACTATGTGGGAAACACTTTGCACGTTTACATTAGGGGTAAGAACTGTCGCAGTAGGGATATCCTGAGATAATAATAATAATCCTTGGATTTAATGGAGTTCCTTATCATATTGTCGTAACATCTCAAAGTGCAGGATTTTTTTAGTGTTAACTGTATTTGCAGGTGATGCAACAGCCAATTTGTGCCCATTTGTGTGCCACAAACAGCCATCAATTTAACGACCAATCTTATCTGGGAGGTTGTTTGGCAGGGCAAACTCCATTCTCTTTTCAAATAATGCAATGAGATCTTTAATGTGCAGATAGAACCTTGATTTAAAGTCTCATTGGAATGATGGAACCTCCAACAAGCCAGTGCTCCCAGGACTACACACGAGTGTTAGCCTAGAAGACTATAAATATACTCATAATTATATACAATATGAATATACTCAACTATTCAATCCATACTGTGAAGCAGTCTGGATCGCCTCCCTGCATGAGGGGCATTATATAAAAGCAAGTTGTTGTTGTGGTTGACATGAGCTCAAATTCCAAACCTAGGGCTCAAACCCACAACTTCTGAGTTGAGTGGTAAGAATTGCTACCGACAGTGATTGTTCTGTCCAAGCCAGATGTCCAATTAATGTCACTTTGAAGCCAGCTCAGCTCCAAGAAGACCCTGCTTAGCTCTGTTTCTGCCTACCACCCTCCACGGAGGACAGTACCTAGTCATCCATTCGCTATCTGTCCAGTGCAAGTTTGAGCCCTCACTAAGTGGATAATAGGGACATGAAACTCCCTATGAGCTGCCTAGGGAGCACCGTGGCTCAGCATGGAATGAATGAAGTTTGTTGTAGGCAGAATCTAAGCTATAGGTAGAAGTTCAATGAAAGATAGAACCCAAGATGTGTCTTTTAAGTATATTTTGCTGCTACCCACCGTTCGTGTAAAATTTTCATTCAATTCAGGAAATGAATTGTGATACAGGTAATAGGGATTTGGTAAGAGTATGTGAATGTAATATATCATCAGCTGAAAGGACAAACATTCAAACTGCACCAATACCTCTGCCAGTGCCTTTCTGTGGGGTAGTTAGTGCTTTATGTATCTGACTTTACCTCCCTTGTCTGGTGCCTGATCACCACTAAGTAACTCATTCAATGTTGTACATGGAGTTAGACCTCCAATGTGTCTAACACTATGCAGCTCCAAAATGTGTTTCTTTTTGTTATCTCCAAGTGCATTTTGCTGATAATGACCCAATTTTTTTTTCAAAACTTAGGCTGAAGGGATCCAAGGCATCTATCCTCCAGGAATCTTTTCACTTCTTTATAGAGATGCTGAACATTGTAGAGCAGTAAAATGGAATGGAAGATCCATACATGTGTCAGTGCTTTGTTATGATAACCAGTTTCCAACCTGGAGGCAAATTACTCTATTTTGTTTGGACATATTAAGCATGGTGATAGGTTTCCGCTTGTGTCAGGCTGACCATAAAAAAAATTGCTTGCACATTTATTTTCCAAAATGTGTCTACTGTCAGCATTTGGTCATACCTCTCATTGCCTTCTCTATATGTTTGATGTTGCAAATTGTAGTGCAGTTTTCTTGCTTGTATTTGGTTTCCAGTATTTCATGCTGTTTTAATCTACTCAATTTTCTTCCTTACACTCTCTGCATTTTTTTCTCTTATATTTTGTTCAAGTACTGTACTTTTGAAAAAGTAAAAATACCCCAAATCATAAAAGTCAGGAAATGGGAGAGTGAGTGTTGCCATGAGTCAATACATTTTCTTTTCACCTCTGGGATCTCTTGGATCCAGTCCAATCAGTTAGATGAAAGTCTCCTCTCTCTGCTGCTGAAAATGCTTAAGTGAATTTTGGGTCAGTCCCAATTCAGTTCTTAGTGGATACAAATCTTAGATCCTAATTTGGTACTAATTTGAGCTAAATTATCATTCTCATTTGGAGAGACTGTGAGAATGGTGTGCTGGTAATTACAATGGAAGCGTAGAGGGACTTCTATTTGTTTGTTTATCTGATGGAATGCATGATACTGACGGAACCCAAAATTCAGAAAATATATGTCCCAACAGTGACATTTCTCACCTTGAACATACACACATACACATGCATGCACACACACATGCATGTTCACATGTGCACCAAACACACAATTACAATTAGAAGGCCTTAATTCTTTTGTAATTAGTTAGGATATCATATGACATAGGTTATAAAGCTCTATTACATCTTATCTACCATTATAATTAAATTGCATTCCTCAATTAACTAAAAATCCACTGGAGCAGATGTACACTAAGCTTATAAAGATTTGTGTTCCGATAATAACAAGAAAGGAAAGATCACCCACCCACCTTGTTGGGCCTTTTTTCTTCTTCAAATCAAAGACATCTCCCACACACCACTGTAGTGAGGCTGCACCCATGATTCTGACTTCTGCCTTGTTAGCCAGAGATAATTAGTAACCTTTAGAATGGGATGTTCTCAGAGAACCTCCCATTAGTTATATCACCTCTAAGAGTAAATGGTTCAATAGGTGACCTCCAAGCAGTTTGTGGAGTATATCCTCCACTGATTCCATCTTACTAGGAGGAAACTTTGGGACTATTCTGTTGAGAGCTCTTAAAATGTGGCCTGGCTCGTGTGTGTGTTTGTGTTCCTGGATTCCCTCTCCTTTCTTGCAAGATTGTGCACCATGTCTAATGGTCTGACTGTTATCAGCTATGCATCAAGTGAGGAATCGTGAAGATTAAGTTTAATATATGTTTGAATATAAAAGCTTTATCCATTTGCTTTTAACTTTATCATTCAACTTTGTATAGCTTTTTTGTGGTGTTACATAAATTGTATACTTTGTATAGATGTTTCTCAAGAAATTTTAAATTGTTAATTATGTTTTTTTTATTAAAGTGATATGCAATGGAGTTGTTTGAAGAGGAGCTCACCTGCCCCATTTGTTGCTGCTTATTTGAAGATCCACGAGTTCTTCCCTGCTCACATAATTTCTGCAAGAAATGTTTAGAAGGTATCCTGGAAGGAAGTGGCAGGTCAATGCCGTGGAGAGTCCCTTTCAAATGTCCAACCTGCCGTAAAGAAACTCCTGCTGCGGGAATTAACAACTTGCAAGTAAACTATTCACTACGAGGAATAGTAGAGAAGTACAACAAAATTCGGATTATACCTAAAATGCCAATCTGCAGACAGCACAGTGGACAACCTCTGAATATCTTTTGCTCAACCGATCTTCTACTAATTTGCGGGTTTTGTGCGACAATGGGAGATCATGAAGGTCATTCCTTCTGTGCTATTAAAGATGCCTATGTGGAGGAGAGAGAAGCTTTTGTTGGGCTTTTCCGTGGATTGGAAACCTGGCATTCTGCTGATGTATGGTCTTGTTTAGAGACTTTAGAAAGCAACAAGAAAAAATCCCTACAATCGATAAGTAAGGATGCAGATAAGGTTATGGAATATTTTACAAAGCTGCAGCACACTCTGGAGCAGAAGAAGAATGAAATTCTTTCAGATTTTGAAACCATGAAGCTTGTGGTGATGCAGGCATATGATCCAGAGATAAATAAATTGAAGTTGATCCTTGAAGAACAGAAAAGGGCTTTTGCTATTGCAGAAACCTTTCGAGATGTCACTGATCCAGTCTTATTTCTGCAGCAGATGCAGGAGTTCCGCAATAAAGTCAAAGTCATCAAAGAAACTCCATTGCCTTCCTATATGGTTGCTGAAGTGCATCCAGTAATGAAAAACTTCAACACTTGCCAATGGGATAATGTGAGACTGAAGGATGTTGATAAAGTCACTTTACCCACAGAGAATTATACATTCAGATTCAAGCCCACTAGTAGCAACTCACATACATTCCTTGCAATTTCATTTGTCTGTCTCCTCATATTTTCTATTGTGGCATTTTATCATAGTGATCTAGTGATTCAGATGTTTGTATCTCTGAAAACTCATCTGTACACATGTGCTAGTTCATTGTATGATAAAATGGAACCAACCTACTTCACAGGCTTCTTTTGGGGTGAGATTGTTGATGTAGTTTCACTTGTATATCAAGCCTGTAAAAATAAGTTTCAGTGGCTTTTGGAAAACATGGAATATTTGGAGACCAAATGCAAACTCTTTTAGACAAAGCAAAATATCACTTCTACAAAATCACAGCTATAGTGTATACCATCAAAGAGTTGGATTTATATTGGATATCCAGGCTTATTTTTCTTTTAGAAATGTGTATGAGAAATTACAATGTTCCCATATTTTGAACGAATTAGCATCTCACTGATAAGTAGAAATTCAAGTAGAATAGGAAAATCTATATGATGTACGGTTGTTGTAAGATCCACCATATTAACAAATATGCAACATTTTAATGTTCTTTACTAGTGAGCCCACAGGACCAGGGAAGATTGAACATAGATAGCAGTTTCCCTGCTCAGACTTCATTTTTTTCCCCTTTTACTTGGAGATTTATAAAAAGCTGTTCTAAAACAGAATGCCTGCTGTGAATATTAATTGTCATTCACCTACTGCTTTTGCCTGCGTCATATAATACAGAACTTGCACCAGTGAAGTAAATGCTCACATTTAGTAAATAAAGAAGATCAGTGCAGTTTTCCTCAAATTTTGGTTCTCACTACTATAGGTTCTTGCCTCAGATATGATTTTATATCCAAAATATTAAAGAGGTTAAATTGCTATTAATTTCTAGAAAAACAATACGTCCATTTATTTTTTAAGTAGTATAGACTGGAGGTAGTTGCCACTCTATGGTAAATTTACCTACCTTGGAAATGTGTATTTATTATAGGAGGTTATAAGCATATGCTCCAAATTCAGTATGATGAATTGAACGAGATAAAATAACTTTATGTTTTATTTAGTAGTTGTGCTCACAGGTCCCATGTGTTGATGTTTTTTCCTACTGGAATGCTATCCCCCATCTGCTGCTGTCATAATAATAATAATCCTTGCATTTGATATAGCGCCTCATCACATTGTTGAGATGTCGCAAAGCGTTTCACAGAATATACTGCAAAGTGAATTGATTGTATATTTAGTCAGCGAAAGTGGCAGCCAATTGTGCATAAAATAAGTTCATAAAGTTTTGGAAGCCAAGCAGACTGATTCCTTCATGAAAGCCCAGTCTTAGGACCTTCAAGAGTGCCTCACAGATCTGAGGGAGAAGATTCATTAGATACCAGCATCTTTCACAATGTGTTTAAACTTCAGGAAAATTATGTAAGGCTCCAAAGACGGAGAAATCTCCCAAATTTGATTTGAAAAAAATAACAAATGTGACATCTCAGAATCAGGGGTTCTGCACCCTTGTATGAAACTGCCTGAAACCAGATGTGCCAAGGGGAAGATCAGAAGTGTGTGCAACCTCCTTGATGCTGGAAATGTTCCTACCAGCATGCTTCCCACTGAAAAGCAATGGATTGCCTTAGAGAACTGCCTACAGCAGATAGAGTCGTCTCCATTTCTTCAAGATTGTTCTTACACTGGCAGTCTTCAAACAAACCATCAGTGATGGGAGGCCAAAGACTGGATTGAAACCAATGGATTGCCACGAAAATGTGGACCACAAACAAGCAGCACTCCAGCCAGTAATATAGTGTGAGGGGCACTTAAAAATATGACTCAATTTAAGAATGATTTCTCAAACTTCAATAGAACTGAAACACTGTGCCATGGAGTACTATGCCATTGCAATGGTCTGCTTACATTCGAGCAGGCCCTGGGTGTCATAAGGACAACTAATGTCTATGTTTGACCAAAATGAATCCAGTAGCATTTCCTGTTTATGTGTGAATAAATGTGTGAGTAAACTAGAATACAGTTATGTAGGGAACATTTCTGTTTGATTGTGAATAAATGTTTTGTCACTGCTTACCACTGACTCTCTCAATACATTATTTCAGGAGTTAATGCAGGAATAATCAGTGATTTCATACCTCCCAGAGCAGTTGTGTTTTAGGTCCTCTGATATGAGGGTGTCATGAGCATAAACTCTGGACTTCACATCGTAAACTTTTCCCTGTCCTCTGGTATTGTTCCCACTCCATTAAAAAACGGTGTTATTACTCCTATCCTTAAAAAACCCTCCCTGACTCTTTCTCTACTCCCAACCTATGGCCCCATCTCCAACCTCCCCTTCTTCTCCAAGGTCCTAGAATGAGTTGTTGCTTCTCAGTATCACTCCTTCCTTTCCCGCCACTCCCTTCTCGAACCCCTCCCATTGGGCTTCCATGCCACCCACAGCACAGAAACCGCCCTGGTCAAAATGACAAATGACATTTTGTCCATCTGCAACCAGGGCTCTCTCTGCCTCCTCATCCTCCTTGACCTCTCTGCTTCTTTCGACACCGTCGACCACTCTATCCTCATCCACTGCCTCTCTTCCTACGTCAACCTCCACGATGCTGTCCTTGACTGGTTCGAATTGTACCTCTCATACCGCCTGAACTTCATCTCCTCAAACGGCTTCTCCTCTAGCCCCCAGATCATCTCGTGTGGCATTCCACAGGACTCTGTCCGTAGTCCCCTTCTCTTCAACATCTATATGCTCCCTCTTGGTGACATCATGCGCAGACATGGGGTCAACTTCCACATGTATGCGGATGACACCCAACTCTACCTCTCTGTCTCCACCCTTGACTCCAGGACCACTGCTGTCCTGACAGAATGTCTGTCAGACATCAAGTCCTGGATGAGAGCTAACTTTCTTCAGTTGAACGTCAACAAGACCGAGGCTCTACTGATTGGCTCCCATCAGCGCCTCCTCACCTCAGGCGCTGACAGCATCACCATCCATGGTTGCACACTCCAACTTGCGAAGCCAGTCCGGAACCTTGGCATCTTGTTTGACCTCAACTATCCTTTCTACCCCACATCTGTGCCATGATCGGCTCTGCCTTCCCTCGCCTCCACAACAGTGCCTGGCTCCAACACTGTCTCACACCGCAGGCCACCAAAACCCTCATACACACCTTCATTACATCGAGGCTCGACTATGCAAACTCACTGCTTGTCGGCCTCCCCAACTCCTCCCTCCACAGGCTGCAGATCATTCAGAACTCTGCAGCCTGTGTCCTCTCCCGCACTAGGCTCCGTGCCCCTATCACCCCATCCTTGCCCAACTCCACTGGCTTCCCATCACACAGAGGATACAGTTCAAGATCCTGGTCTTCACCTTCAAAGCCCTCCACTGTCTTGCTCCCCCCTACCTCTCCGACCTCTTAATCCCCTACCATCCTGTTCACTCCCTCCACTCAGCGGGCTCCGGCCTGCTTCACGTCCCCCGCCTTGCTCGCCCCACTATTGGCAGGCGTGGCTTCCGCCATTCTGCCCCCACCCTCTGGAACTCCATCCCGCAGTCCCTGTATAATTTATCTGGTAAATGTGGAGTCAATGTCAGAAGTAAAATGCATACCCTCTGTTTAAAAGAATTGCAAGTTTTGTATTCACAAGAGGTTCTGATGAAAAAAGGTTCTTTGGCCCATTTCATCTCATTCTTCCAGAACAGTGTCTATGCTGTCTTCCATTTGAGCGTCAAGTATTTATTAACTGAAACACAATACTACCGATGTTGTAAATGAATCCATTGTCCTAACCATTACCTGTAACTTGTTCCAGGATTCCCCTCTGTGTATGTCCTAAACCTGCCCTGCACAATCCATCATTCATGAAATATTACTAACTTTTGTTAGTCAAATACAATAACCCAGAATCATGAGTTGCATCAAGTATTTGCATAAAAATATCAGATTATTATATTTTATTTTGGTAATGGACTTTATTCCTACTTCTCTTCTATAGTAATGGTATATACAAAAAATCAGAGAATTAAATTCTTCAGATGATTTTCTGTTTTTTGTACATCAAAATAAATGATAACCACTTAAGTATTTATTGTTCCTTCCCAGCGTCTTGGGAGGGCCTCCCGAGATGAAGGGCACTATACAATGTAATTTTGTGTTGTAGTATATGTAAGTTTTTATTTTATCCTCAGATTATGTTTATAATGGCATATTTTAACATTGTAAAACTGTCTAAAATATTTTATTGTTGAAAATTAAATTAAATGTGATGGAATATATTGTGCCTCCATGCCCTGGGACATAATTATAAACTCCTTCTTATAATATAAGAAGGACTGAGTTAGCACACTGTCCTTTCATCGCTGACAACTATGAATTAGATTAATTAACTGCAAGATAAATTATCTTTCTATGTAGAACTGAATAATTTGATCATTATCAGTCATTGCAGCTCATAAGAGCTCCTATAATAATATTAATCCTCGCATTTGATATAGCGCTTTTCACATCTTCTAGACATCCCAAAGCGCTTCACAGAATATATACTGTAAAGTGAATTGACTGTATATTTTTGTGAGCAAAACACAGCAGCCAATTGCACACAGCAGTGTACCACAAACAATGATAGAGTGAATGACCAAATTATTATTGTTTCTTCTTTCTTTCTCTGTTTGTTATGAAATGACTGGAGGACAAAATTACAGTATTCCTAAACACATTTTATGCCTTAATTGAGGAACAGAATGCATTTAGCGCACTTTTGTCTCCTAAGGGTGGTTTGAATCCAGTTCCTTCAGAGTGTCATTAAATACTGACATTTTACCAAATGTAGCAATCGCACTCAGGTCTTAGGTTTGTATATTAGGTTAGTAATTCCACCTAGTCTGACCCTATACCATTGTGTTTTAAAAAGTTTTATTTTTGTTTAAATTGTGTTTTTATCTATTTTTGGTGTGTTTGTGTCAGGTGTAATAAAAAGAAGGTAAAGTCATGGTGAAAACTCAATGTACAGATATGCATATGTGAAAGGGAACTTTTTTTCTACTGCCATATAATTTCACTAGTTACTCTGTATATAGATAACATAATATAGTTTATTCTACTGCATATATTCTGTTGTACGTCTTTGTTTTCAGGGAAATAGAGCATTATAATAATATAATAATAATCCTTGCATTTTATATATGCCTTATGACTGTATTTTTTTGGCAAAACGCAGCAGCCAATTGCGCACAGCAGTGTCCCACAAACAGTCGTGGATTGAGTGACCAAATTATTATTATTATTATTTTTGAAGGGATTATTACCCCTGGAAAAACAATCTGCCAATCGAATAACAACCGGGTTCCTACTTACTCTTAGGTAAACAGAGGCATGTGGAGTAAGGAAACTTGCCTAGTGTTTCTCCCTGCCCAGATCCTCTTGCATGCGAGACAAGTGGTCTAACCACTATGCTACAGCATTGGGATAGGAATAAGCTATTTGGCTCTTCAATTCACAAGCCACCTAATTTAATCATGATCTCTAGCTTAAACTCCAGACCCTTTAATATTTCGTTAAGCAATCATCTAATTTATTTTTGAAAGAATTTATGAATTCCGCCTCATTAAGATGGACCCCTACTCTGTGTTTATCTGACCTACTGCTTCCCCATTTAGAAAGTATATTCCACCTGGTGTTACCGCAGACTGTTCTCAATGAATTGTGTCTGTGAACTTCCAACTATTATTCTTTATGCTAAATTGTATCAGCCATGGTATTTACAAAGAGTAATAATACATCTTAAAATTAATCATAAATGTAAAATTCCTGTAAAATCTCCAGCAAGTTTTCTGCTCAAACTCCAATCGATTTTTGTGAGTCACGTTTAGCTTCTAAAATGTGTTCACCAATAACATGATCAGAAACGCAAGCAGTTTGCAAGGCTGTTGAAAACCCTTCCATAACATTTCCTTGACAGCACTCTCAGTTGTTTATGTTTACAGTTGAGTTGCTTGGAAACAAACCAAATAACTAGTGATGTTTTTGTTAGCTCTTGGGTTTGCCCTTGGGTACAACTAAGAAACGGCATAATATCAATTTGAAGAAAATAAAAGGGTTCAACTTGATACAAAATGAACAAATCTGAGGTTATAATTTTGAATGTTGGTGGGACAAAGTTTGCTACCTCTCCTGCTACCCTCAGGAAATGGCGAGATTCTAAGCTCGCACGGATGTTGGAAGGAGGTGACCCTGATATCCGACCAGTCAATGGACAGTTTTTCGTCAACAGGGATGGTAGTTTATTCCGTTATATCCTGGACTTTCTGAGGACTTGTGAACTCACCCTTCCTCCTGACTTCTCTGATTTTAACAGATTGGCAAGGGAAGCAGATTTCTACGATCTCCCATCTTTGGTTGACCTTCTCAACCAGAACCGTTTCAAACAAAGACCTGAGATCTTGGAGGTAAGATTCTCCCTCCAGGAAACATTACTCTTTTTTCAGACTTTTCTGTTCCTGTAACAGTACCATCGAAACATTGGCTGATCGGATTGTAGTCTATGCAGAACAGCCTGGCGAGAACTGGAACCACTCATTCTCAGCCCAGAAATTGATGGCTCCAGTATCATTACAGAGGCCTTCTCATCACGATCTAGTCTTTCACTGTGGAACTGACTACTCAACTGGGGATGAGCTGTCAAGGTAAGCTAGCTTCTATTATACAAATTCTTTTCTAATTTTTTTTGTATATATGTTTATTCACAATGTATTGTTTGAGGTAATCGTATTAGTGGGATTCTTCTACATGTAATAATCAGCAACCTATTTATTTTCAATTCTGTAATAGAACTGTACAGTGTTGAACTTACATCTCCCTTTCCTGAGGATTGTAATTCTCTCAAGTGATTTGGTAGGATAAAGTAAAAGCTATTTGGTGCAACTATTTGATACATTGGTAACATTTATTCAAAATTGTCCTTTGAGTACACAGGATTTTTTAAAATGATGATGCATTTATACGACTTGGAAGCATACAGTGGGAAACTCTTCATGGCATCATATTGGGGACTATTAATTCATTCAATTTTGGAGTCTTTTTTTGTGAGAACTAAGTGCATGCATACAATTCCCAAATTGTGTGTGAGACTTTTGATATTATTTTTTAAAAATCTATCGCTACTAAATTTTGAAGAGTTTAAAAGTGGTCTTTCGAAATACTCTAGAATTTTCAAGAGTGTGAATTAAACTATTCTTCAAAATAGCTCCCCCAGGCGATGTCTCAGAGCACCGCAAGACATTATCCCATGTGAAAGGTGCTGTTGTTGTCAGGAGTGAAAATCAAGCCAACGTACTGGCTCAACCTGTGAAAAGTGAAGTACAAATTAAAAGTGAAGTACAAATTAAAAAGGCATTAGTCTAATTTGTGATATTTCTTAATAGAATTCCATGATCCGGGTTCTGCAATGACAGTTTCTTTCAATAACCTCAAGTAGCTAAGCGCCATGGGATGTCCACCTGATGTGAAAGATGCTAATATAGATGGAAACAGAACCACAGTAATTTAAAGAACAGGAGGCCATTCGACCCGTCCTGTCTGTGGGATGGCTCTTTCAATCCATTTATCTGCCCTTCCCCCATACTCTAAAGTTTACTCATCACTTTATCTCCCTCAACACCTCCGTACCTCTTCCCCTTTCTCAACCCTCCACCATCACATACCATCCATAGGAAAAAAATTCCTCCCTCTCCCTCGCTACTCCCCTTTAGTCATCTGAACTCCTACACCTCTGGCCCTCACTGACCGATCTCCCCTCTCTTTTCTCCACAACTCCCTCTCCTCCATTCTGGACTCCCTTGCCCCCCTTACCTCCCGAACTGCCTCATACTCCCGTAAAGCCCCCTGGTGCACCAGCCATCTCCGTTCCCTCAAGGCACAAATGCGAGCTACCAAACGTGCCTGGACCAAATCCAGACTAACGGTCCATCGGCAGATTTGGCTTCACCACACCAAGACCTACCGCTGTGCTCTTGCCTCTGCCAAATTCTGCTTCTACTCCAAGCTTATCTTGGAGGCAAAGTACAACCCCAGGCTTCTCTTTTCCACTACAAACCGTCCCCTCCGTCCACCCCATGCCTTGCCCATCCTCTCCTCAAACTGTGAGATGCTGGACTTCCTCGAATCCAAAATCGAGGGGATACATTCAGCCACCTCTGCCCCGTCCACAGCCACCCCCAGATCACCTCTCCCTCATGACCCACTCCCCACCCATTCCCCCCTTTACTTCTTCGACCCTATCTCTCTCTCCTCCCTCACCATGACTGTCCGCAAACTGAAACCCACCACCTGCTCCCTCGATCCCATCCCCACCTCTCTCCTCATCTCCCAGCTCCATCTTCTGACCCCTTTCCTGTCCGACGTCTTCAACCTCTCCTTGTCCACTGGTTCAGTTTCTACCCCCCTAAAAACAGCCACCATCACCCCCATCTTGGAAAAACCTTTTCTACTGTCCAGCTACCGCCCCATCTCTAACCTCCCATTCCTCTCCAAGGTCCTGGAACGAGTTGTCACATCCCAGCTACGCTCCTCTTTTTTCGCCGTTCCCTCTTTGAACTCCTCCAATCCGGCTTCGCGCTGCCCACAGCACGGAAACAGCCCTGGTCAAAGTCACTGACAATGACATTCTAAACATCTGTGATCAGGGCTCCCTCTGCCTCCTTGTCCCCCTCGACCTCTCTGCTGCCTTCAACACGGTGGACTACTCCATCCTCATACACCACCTCTCCTCTTTACTTAATCTTTGCGGACCTGCCCTTGCCTGGTTCGATTCCTATCTCTCTCACCGTCTCCACTTTGTTGCCTCTAATAGTTTCTCCTCCAGCCCCCGCATTGTCACATCTGGCATCCCCCAGAGCTCTGTCCTTGACCCTCTCCTCTTTAATATCTACGTGCTCCCCCTTGGTGACATCATCCGTAGACATGAAGTCAACTTCCATAGATATGCCGATGACACCCAACTATCTTTCTACCTCCACTCTCAACTCCAGGACCACTGCTGTCCTGACAGACTGTCTGTCGGACATCAAGTCCTGGATGAAGGCAAATTTCCTATAGTTGAATGTGAACAAGACTGAGGCCCTTCTGATTGGCTCACCCCAGCGCCTCAGCACCTCAGGCTCTGGCATCAACCTCCATGGTTGCACACTACAACTCACCAAGCCAGTCAGGAACCTAAGTGTCTTGTTCGACCCTCAACTGCCTTTTCTTCCCCACATCCAAGCCATGACCCGCTCTGCCTTCCCTCATCTCCGTAACATCGCCCGACTCCGTCACTACCTCACCCCTCAGGCCGCTGAAACTCTTGTTCATGTCTTCATCACATCCAGGGTCGACTATGCAAATGCCCTGCTTGTCGGCCTTCCCAACTCCTCCCTCCGCAGGCTGCAGATAATCCAGAACTCTGCAGCCCGTGTCCTCTCCTGCACCAAACTCCATGACCCCATCTCCCCCATTCTCGCCCAACTCCATTGACTCCCTATTCTTCAGAGGATCCAGTTCAAGATCCTGGTCCTCACTTACAAAGTCCTCCATGGCCTCGCCCCACCCTACCTCCATGAAATCCTAACCCCCTACCAACCCGCCCATTCCCTCCCCTCAGCTGGCTCTGGCCTGCTCCTCATCCCCCTACCCACCCACCCCACCATTGGCGGGAGAACCTTCAGCCACTGGTTAAGAACCCCAACTTCTGGAATTGCATCCCCCAATCACTCCGCCTCACCCCCTCCTTAGCCTCCTTCAGGTCCCACCTCAAACCCAAGCAAGTCTGTCTCAAGCAGAATTTCCAGCAGGGCAGTCCTATCTGTGTGTGAAAAAAATTCTTCTAACCTAATTTCTCTTTATTGATTCTATCAAAACTCCTCAGAATTGTAATTGTTTCATTGACCAAAGTCACAGTTCCTCCAGTCTCTGCTCATAGGCCAAATTTGCATTGTAGGTTACGCCAACCCATACATTTTCAGAGTTCCCACTGGTTGATTTTAACTTTATTCCTTTCTAAGCAATCCCATTAAGAAATACAGAAAATTAGACTCTATTATTCCAGGACTGTGTCATCAAATTATGTTCATGATGAGTATTTGGAAGAATGTTTTATACTTCAATAATCTCCATTCCAATTGGATATATAGAATGATTATTTTATTGTGATTGCTACTTGATTGTTTCAGGTATGTGTCGATTCATCCCGATCAAAGAAAGCTTATCAATGGCAACAATGTCCTGGGTCTACTTGTTGACATTTTATTGAGGGAAGGATTCCGTCTCATCAGCACCAGGACAATTTCTCCAAAGGAAAAAGTGGAATGTTATACGTTCGAGCGAACCAGGAGAAGTGAGCTTCTTACTATTTCTGAGCAGCAGGGAGGCGAAAGTGTGAATGCAGTATATTTAAAATCAGGAAAATCACAGTCCAAAAGGAAATGATAAACTGCACCATGTCAGAACTGTCAACAGGTTCTGCGTTGTGGCACATTTTGATTAAAAGCATATGGATATGTTTAAGAACATTTACCACATATGTATTGATTCAAATTTCATTTTGTATTGTATCATGTTGTAGAGAAGACATCTACCCAGCATGGAACCATGGAACACCCCTGATTTCTTGCGGGGAGATGTAATGTAGTTGTCAAGAATATTTTGGTAAATCCATTCAAATAAAAATTAATGTTACTTGGATATTTCATGTGTAAATTTGTTGTGAAAAAGAATATTATTCAGCAATAGGTCATTCTTTCCTCTTTTATTAGTCTTTAATTTTACAAAGTCCACAATATATTCTCAACACACTTAATTTCAACTGTTACAATATATATGCTCCATCTGTATAGACATATTTCATCCTGAGAAATAAACAACTTGCATTTATATAGCGCCCTTCACTTGGTGAGGTGTCCCAGAGCACTTAAACAGTTCAGTATGACATTAGCACAGACTAGTTTCTATTCTATAATATTCTATGTAAATCAATGTCATTATTCTCTCTTCATACATTCTCTGGATTATCAATAATAATCTTTGCATTTGATATAGCGCCTTATCATGTCTTGATTTATCAAGACGCAGGGAGGTCAGGGCAGGGTTACATGGAGCAGGCCAGTGTCTATCAAGCAGAAGGAGCAGGAAGGTACTAGTAGGCTGCAGAGGTAGGGAGCAAGACCGTGGACAGCTTTGAAAGCGAGGACAAGGATCTTGAATTCGATTCTGAGTGGTTACAGAGCCAGTGATGCTGGGTGAGGATAGGGGTGATCTGCTCACAGACTTGGGTGCTGGAGAGGTCATGAGCTGCAGATTTCTGAATAATTTGTAGTCTGTGGAGATAAAAGTTGGGAAATCTGCCGAGCAGGCAGTTAGCATAGTTCAAGCCTGGATGTGTTGAAAGCATAGCTAAGGGTCTCGGCGACTAGAGGGGAGAGTTCAATTCCATAATCATTAAAATGCATTTCACAGTCTGCAGTGTCTTGGCCAACAATCCTTTTTCTTGGTTCTTTGTGCAGCGGGTGTTAACTCTGACTGCATTTATTTATTTATTTGTCCTATTTTGTAAATAAAGTTTCTGAGTGTGATTGAGAGAAGACACAGGAAGAAACTTCCTTTTTTTTCAGAGTGTCATGGAATCTTTAATGCTTATCTAGAATCCATCCAGCTTTTTAATGACATCTAAATCTGAACATATGTACCAAACATTTTTACATTATACAGTACGTATCAAGTGATATTGGTGCTCCCTGAAATCAGTCATCATTTGCATTTAAAATGTGGGAACAGGAAATGGCAGATTAGAATGGATAATACATGTTATATGAAAGGAGTAGGTTAAAAAAAATCTACATACACGTTAATAAAATATCCTTTAAGAGCTCAATATTCCTAGAGGTAATTTTCCCTTGTAGATTTGTGCAGTCAGGGTAGACAACAGTCAATTCACTTTGCAGTATATTCTGCGAAGTGCTTTGAGACGACTGACATAAGGCGCTATATCATCTGCAAGGATTATTATTTTATTATAACCTTCTGTGCCTGAGACAAAACTATTACCAACTGAGCCAGGTCGATACAACTATCTTGGTCCTTCTCCAGTTATTTAGCTAGAATTGGGAATACATTAGTTTGTGAAAAGGAGTAGGAACAATGTTGGGCTTGAGCTCACAACCCAGCATCACATAATACTGCATACCAAGACATCACATATTTACAAATGTTGATGGAGAAACCTTGCATGATTATAAATTGACTTCAAAGACTACACCAAAAGGAATAGTTTTTCTTTTTAAAACAGGTAGATCATATTGCCTCACTGACTTGGCAAAAGCAGGACCAAGAAATAATCAAAGAATATACCAACCAATTCATTTTTGGGGCCCACTTCTCATTCAGTTCAGTAAATGAATCAGTACTACAATGGGGGTATTTGAGAAAGATATTCCAGTTGGCTTGAATTTTCATTGATCCAAAACATATGTCGCTAATAACTTTATCAGAAAGTATGATTTCTCAAAGGAATTTATTCACAAAGATCTGTTGGAAAGGTTCTTTTTCAACAAAGAGACATGTAATGATAGGCAGAAAATATCAGATTTGTTTTCTATGTTGGGGTATGAAGGGAGCTTGAATTAAAACACATTTGTATAGTATATCAGTTTTACAAAGAATTAGAGAGTAATATTTGTGGTAGTTTAAGGGTTGCTTGTGTTATTTAAGGAACGTTCAATAACTACCAGCAGATAAAGAACTCATCTAAGGGTAAGTGTTCATTTTCTGGTCTAAGTGACAGCATTTTGTTTTAACCCAGAAGTGATTGTTCTTGTATTTAAAATTTAGGCCCTACATTTGACTCTACCTTAAATTGTTGTTTTCATTGTTGATCTGCTGAGGACCTCAATGTGTTCTCTCCTTTGCCAAAAAAATAGTTCTGTGATCATGCAGGTTTGTGTTACTTAATGAATGTTCAATAACTATCACCAGATGGAGCACCCCTAAAACAGGTAAGTGACCCATGAGCAATCACTGAAAGTTATTTTCTTGGAATAAATTCAAAGACCATTGGAAATAATCCCCAATCTTGAATCCAAAATAGCAGCACCCAGGGGTTTTCAACTAATTTTGAGTGCTATCATTATTCATAAGTGGAGGGAGGGGGTCATTTTTAAACATATTCTAACAGAACAGAATGCGTTTAGGAAAACCATAATTTTGAGGTTCAATCATCATGATGACTCTAAAATGCTTACAAGTGCTCTTAAGTTACAAATATTCAGTTCTTTGGTTTGGTAATCAAAACCTGATCTAGACTGGGGAAGATGAATCCTACAGACTATTACAGCACATAAACAGATAATTCATTCTATGATATCTGCCCTGGTAACGGAGAATGCCGAGGCATCACCTGCCAACATGGGGTCAAGTTCCACACGCATGCCAATGATACTTAACTAGTTACCTTTGCCTACATCCTAGATTCCAGGCCCATTGCTGTCCTGAGTGACTGTGAGTCATTTATACAATAAAACGACAATGTCTGTCTGTCAGTGCATCTGACAATCAAACAATAACTGATTGACAGACATGATTTATACCTCATCAGAAAAGTCATGCACCTGGCAGTGTCATGGGCATATTTTTTGGGGGAATCTCCTATCATTCATGAACTATGGTAAAACTTAAGCCTCACAATATGAGGTATCCTTAATCATGCTGCCACGTCACTCGGTTGTGACATTATCCATTGTGACATACAGAATATAATGGCTTGCAGACAAAAAAAATCTGCGACTGTGAGAGTTGTCATGTGAGCTACAGTCCTCCCATGTGGGACAGACAGAGCGAGAGACTGAGATAGTGAGAGAGCCAGAGAAACTGAGAGAGAAAATATATTATAAAGTGTAGTGACTGTGTGTTTTATGGGAGAGACTGGGATAGAGACAGAGAGAAACTGAGATAGTGAGAGAGAGGGAGACTGGAAGAGTCAGAGAGATTGTGAGAAAATATACTGAAGAAGTCCTCCCACAGGAGTCCTTTCAGCTGAGTATAATGTCTAAACAAAATGTCTGTCTGTGTGTCAATCTACATTCCATATTGGATCCTTTGGTTGCAAGCGAAGCTGCAACTGGTACAGCTAGTATATTATAAAGTGTAGTGACTATTTTGTGGGAGAGATACTGAGAGAAAGACAGAGAGATTGAGATAGTGAGAGTGACAGAGAGAGATTGAGAAAGAGACCAAGAGAGAAAGAGTTAGAGAGAGAAACTGAGAAAGAGAGACAGAGATAGAGAGAGAGACTGAGAGTGAGAGAAACCGAGAGAGAGTCTGAGAAAGACAGTGAGACTGTGAAAAAAAATATTAAAGGAGTCCTTCCAACTGAGTATAAATAAAGACGAAATGTCTGTCTGTGTGTCAATCTACATTCCATATTGGATCCTTTGGTTGCAAGTGAAGCTGCAACGGGCACAGCTTGTAAATTCTAAATCAGCATCACTTGCTTTCAGCGGAATATCAACAAAACCAAAACCTTGGATCTCAATTCATCAACCATCCTGGTTGTTAACTATACTTCACTTTAGGTGTAACCTCAATGTTTTTGAACAACTCTTATCTCTCCTTTAAGACATATTAGCTAGGCTGTGATCAAGGAAAGTTTTTTCCACCTCGAAAACATTGCCTGCCTACATACCATCTTACGCCTGCCACCACTGAAATTCTCATCCAGCTGTATCATCTTCAGACTGGATTTTACCAACCAACTCACCTTCAAAATTCCTCTTTGATCATGCCTTCAGTCATATTCCTCATTCTCATACTTCATGTGAAGCACTTTGACATTCTCCTACATGAAAGTCTTTGTATAAATGTAATTTGTATTTTGATTGGATCACAACAGCGGGATTAGGTCTCTTTGGTGTATTGATATACACTGCCATGTAGTTTTTCAAGACAGGTTTTATTCACAAGAAACCATAGACTCATCAGATGATGTTCTACTTTATATCCAATTGTTTGACAGTTTGCTCCCTGAACACTGAAAGGCATTGTTCTTGAACATAAGCAATAAAGGGGCTTGGCACAGTAGGACTCTTTTTGGAAATCCTGGATTTGTAGTTGATACTGCCAAGTATCCTTGGGAGTTCACAATTGTCTGAAGAGAAACTTCAAATGTAGTCTGGTACAGGGACCTGTGAAAATGGCTACTGCCATGATAAAAAAATGTAGTGTTCCGTGATCAGAAACTTCTAATCAAATTGCAAACACCAGTCCTTCCTCGTATGTGCAAGTTTTTAAAAAATGTCAGTTTTTAAAATAACCATTTTATTGTTCCAAGATTTTACATACAAAACCGTACGGTGTGGAACCTTCTAAATCTTCGTTAAAACTTTGTTTATTCCTATTTTTGTGTAGAATATAATTTGTAGAAAGATACCACGCTAAGGATTAACGGAGAAGAATGTGGTGCCAGAGAGAAAAAAAAATATTCAGGACCCCGGGACATCCTCCCGACACGAAAGACGTTATACAAATGTAATTCGTTGTTGTAGTATGGGATTAAGTGTACTTTTCCAGTCTAATCTTTGCTTTTTTGCTTTCAAACTAAGAAGATAGTTAAGAGCAGGCTTCAAGGGAATAGACGGTCTTGATTCAATGCAGAGGTTTTGGCCATTCAGAGTTCTGACCAAAAATGTTTTAAT